TCTGTAACTTTCGCTCCAAATTTTCCTCCCATTTTTAAATTACAGACGGAACAATTCGTCTGTAATTCCTGTCTATAATACTTTGTGTCAAATGGCCGGTCAACTACAAAAGGACTTTATAGACAGATTTATGGACAAATTTTTCAAAAAAATTTTAAAAAATAAAAATCCAAAAATCTGTCTGTAAAGTATCCTCTGTAATGGTCGCCTATAAATAGTGTTTTTCTAGTAGTGTGTTTTGCTTTATTTTAATTTTTTTATTCATTTTCAATTTTTTTCATTTTCATTTTAATTTAATTTCTTATTTTATAAATTTTTGTTAGTGTATGTTCACTTGTTCTAAGTGTTCTACAGCTTATTTATTTGATCTAGAGATTGAGAGAATAATGCATAGACAAAGGAAAGAAGTGAGAGAGCAAAGAATGGCAGAGGAGAGGAGATCAATTCAATATTACATGACACCCATTGCTAGAGGCACTCCTGGATGCATTGCGGCTCCTATTAATGAGACTAACAATTTTGAATTGAAACCAACACTCATAACCATGGTCCAGAACTCCATACAGTTTGGAGGCATGCCTAATGAAGATCTAAATCTCCATCTGACAAAATTTCTCTGATTAACTGATACTATCAAATATAACGGAGTCTTCAACAATGTCATTCGTCTCTGTCTTTTCCTCTTTTCAGTATTTGAAAAGGTGAATGCATGGTTCGCCTCACTCTTAGCCAATTCCATCACAACTTGGGAGGATCTCACTCAACAATTCTTGGAAAAGTACTTACCCTATCAAGTTCCTCTAAGCTTATGACAAAGATATGTTGCTTCCACCAATATGAAGCAAATCCTTGTTTGAGGCGTGTGAGTGATTTGGAGAGCTTTTGAGGATGTCTCCATCATAATTTTTTGACATAGAGACAAGTGCAAATCTTTTACATTAGCCTATTAATCACCACCAAATCTACAATTGATGCTGCAGCAGAAGGGTCTCGCATAACAAAGGATCCAGATAATGCATACAAGCTAATAGATGAGATGGCATTTGCTAGCTTTTAGTGACACACTATTGACTCTTATGACATCAAAGGGAAAGATACTGCCCCCAATCTACTAAGTAGAGAGCAGCAACACACTAATGAGCCAAATAGCAGCCCTTGCAAAGCAATTAAAATCTTTAATGAAGGCTCAAGACCAACCTGTGAGACCTTATGCAAGCCTATAATTTAAGTAAAAGGAGACACATTTCATAGGCAATCACAACTCGGGGTGGCAAAGTAATCCTCCTAACTTTTGAGAATGACTTTGGAAATCAAAATTCATGTGTTTATCGCTCTCTCTATATGCAAAATTAGGGAGCAAGATCAGAAGGGAAATAAGCCCCTAAATCTCACTTGAGTGAAAACAAAGCAAAAGCTTAACTCTGATGTGGGCTTTCTTGCTTCTCGCTTGAACGAAAAAGAATCTGGATCAACTCTTCATTTGCCAATTGCCTTCACCTCATTGAGCTCATGTGAATCAGAAAAATTACAAAAAGAAATTAAAATGAAACTTCATCTTAATTTCTAAATTAAATAGGTTAACTGAATTCAAATTCTACTAATTGAAAAAAAGTTGATATTTAAATTTAAATAATTGAAGTAATTAAATGCTCAATTTCATTCAACCATTTCCTCAAACTTGACACTTATCAAAATATAATAAAAGTTAGTGAATATTTACAAATTTAACTTTTTGACTCATCTTAATTTAATAAATTTTATTTTAATTTAAAGTGAAATAACTTGCATTTTTTTTCCATCTTAACAAAAAATTTGTGAAAAAATTATATATGCTTAATCATGTTAAATATACTCAAACTTGATTATATTAGTACCTAATAAGAATCTAAATATATCCTAAAATTTTGTGTTTATAAATATATTATCACATACATGTTAACTTTCGGCACCTTAATTCTTAACTAAATCAATCACAAACATTTACATTGCTTTCAAACATAATAATAATAATAATAATAATAATAATAATAATAATATATTGTGTACATATAAGAAGTTAAAAATCATAATTTTTTTTATATACATCTTTTATTAAAAAAAATTGACATAATAATTGTTAATTATTCTCCTTAAAAAGGTGGATTAATCTTACTTCTAAAATCCTAACTCAATTATTTTATACATTGGGCCCGTAAGGTTATAGTAAATCCACTAACTATATGGGTTAAAAAAAAGGGCATACATTAGACTTAAAAAAGAAGCTATTTGTGGGTTAAGTGAAGTGAGTCATGGACTGAAACCCATATTGAAAGGTTTAATTATAATTATGACAAAAAAAAATATTTTTTATAAAAAATATAATTACTGAAAATAAAAAATAACCAAGAAATATAAATAAAAAAAAGTAAAATGTGTAAAGAAATTCTTTTTTCCTTTTGGATCAACAAAAATTATCTTTCTTAAAAAGTCATGAATATTCTTTGAGAAATTGTGTTCGGACTCATATCTAGTAGTTATAATTTTCTAACAAATAAAAAAAAATTCTAAAATCATCTATACTCTTCTCCTACTAAAATTTTACATAAAACTCGGTCAATAACTTAAATCGGCAAATGTCGTACTAGCTACAACGGCCTAAGAATATTATTTATATTATAAATCTGAGAGCTTGTTTGATGTAATTTTAATTTTCAATTTTTAAAAATTACATTTTAAAATAATTTTATAAAATAAAAATTATTCGATAAATTAATTTTTAAATTATTTTTAGTTAAATTTTTGTTAGTTATAAAAAAACAGAAAAAAAAAACAAAAACACCTAAATAATAATTCTGTTTTTTAATTTTAAAAACTGAAAATAAAAAATTATTTTAAAACTTATATTAATAAACATTTTTTATTGTTTGTTTTTAAAAACAAAAAAATTTATTCAAAAAGAGAAAATAAGCAAATCCTCAATCTTTATTTTTAAAGAATTAACCAACACTTTTTTCTTTTCTTTTTTTCTGAAATTACACATTTTACTTTGTGGTAGCTTTTAACTTATTATGTCAAACTAATATTTTTCTTTCTTAATTAACTATTTAGTAATATTATTTGTTGTCTTTATTAATCTCTTTAGTTAATATTTAATTTTTCAATTAACATTAAAATAATTCATAATTTAAAATTTTATCATTTAATAATAAATAAAAAAATCAAATCAAAACAACATTCATTAATATAATATTTACTTAACAAAAAGTAGTGAAATTTTTAAAAATTTATACTAATAAATGAAGCAGTATACTAACATTTATATATAGATACTATAATTTAAATTTTATCCCAAAAAAATATTTACTAGTATAATATGTTATATTTTTAACAGAATTTTAAAATATTTATATTATTAATATAATTTTTATCAAACAATATTACTTATAAAAATGGTGATGAGTAAGTTAAGTTAGTTTATTATATGATTCATAAGTAAATTAATAAAATAACATATTATAATAAATTTTAAAAGTTATAATATTTATATTTTAATATTTAATAAATTTATATGTTAAAAATATCAAAATATTAGATATTTAAAATAGGTTCTTTCAAATATTTTTAAAGGTAAATATCTTTTAAAAATATAATTATAACAATTTTAAATATAAATTTTATTTTTATTCACATAAAATGCAATCATATTTTCTCAATCTCAATCTTACTTTTTTTCATTTTGATTTCTTAGTTCAATCATTGTTTTGTTGTATTTTTGGCATATAGTTTGATAGATTGTGGTTGAAATTTAAGATTAAAAGTTTGAAAGAGATATCTAAAGCAATAAATTAAATGAAATCATATAATTGGGAATACAATATATCTATCCCAATTCTTTTAATAAAAAATAATTTGGCTAAATTGAAATAGAAGTAATGACTAAAGAGATAATTAATACTAAAAAATGCAGAAAAATTATTATCTATAAATATTTCACTTAAATCATATAATATTTTATTAAACTAATTTTTTACAATAATGACTATATAAAATTTTGTCAATTTTTGTTTAAATCATTATTTTTCTCTTAAATTAAAGTTGTACAATTTTTTTTATATGCATAATTCACTTAAATTGGGTGAATTTTACTTAAGCTAATAATATTTCTTCGATATTCATCTAATGAACTATTTATTTCTTATAACTTTAATTTAAGCAAGTTTAAAAAATGATTTAAACAAATTTTGTAGATATTATACTAAGTATATATAATCAGTGTGTAGAAAAAGCATTAATCAAATCTAAAAAACATTGAACAATTTATTAATAAAAAATAAATTTCATGATGAGTTAAGATGTAAAGTTAAATGTGAAAACTTTAATTTTAAAAGCTAGTAACTGCATACATAAGAGTTTGTAAAAAACCTAAAAATCTAAAATGACATTTAATGTTTTATTAATAAAAAAATTATTTTATATTATAAATTAAAATTTTATTAATGGATATAAAAGTTTTAATTCTTAAAATTAATACCTAAATACAAGATACATTTGTGTGAAAAAAAAAAGATAAACTAAATATTATCAATACAATTTTATAATTATTTAAAATAATAAATTTCAAAAGTTTGAATATTAATTTTATAAATAATTAAATCATAAATAAAATTAATATTATTAAATAAAAATACAAGATCTGAATTATTAATATTTTTAAAATATATTAATAATTTTGAGAAAATATTAATAATTTTGAGCATATTAATTCATATGTACATTATTAAATGACTTACTTAAATGTTTATTCATTTTAATTTCTTTATTATAAAATGACTATGGAATAAAGTTAGCAATACACTTTTTAATATACACTTCTTATATCTTATTATTATTAAAATTGATTAAAAACTACCACTGCTCATAACAAACAATGTTAAAGATTGTGATAGAATTATTGATGATAATAACGTGGAAGCTGTTTAAGGACGATTACGTGGCACAAAGAGGTGAGCATAGAAAGTGAATGAACTGGTTGAACGTGTTTATTTGATACTTGTCGTTTCTGTCTCGTTCGGTGCTCTTCTCTCCCTATTTGTCACTGAAATCTCAATCACACACTCCAATAATCTCTTCTCTTCCCCGTACAACTTTCATGGCTTCTCTCAACCTTCTTCCTTCTCTATCAATTTCTTCTCATTCCTTTGCTAGGCCGAAGGGTTTCATTCCCCGCAGCAACCTCCAACTTCTCACTCCAAAGGCTTCTCAGAAGCCCACCCTTGTCGTCAAATCTGCTGAGGGTGAGGCCTATGTCGCTGACTCTCCTTCAGCTTCTTCTGGCTATGCCTCTGATTCTTTGAAGCTCAATCTGCTGGTGGGTACTCGCCTTCTTCAATATCTTGTTTGTTAGCTTCTTTACAATCATGAAACTTCATCATTATCATGCTTATTGCTGAGCGTTTGATTAGTTAAAGCTTAAAAGAGGTTGAATTAAATCTGTTTGACTTCTGTGTCTAAATGCTAACAGTTTTAGGACAATGTTTTTTGATTGGGATAATTGTGAACTTATAATTATGAATTTCATTATGCTTTTGTTGTTGATTGAATTGTCTTGTTTCTTATGATTGAGTGATTAATGTGTGCAGAATGCTGTTTCTGGGCTAAATAGAGGTCTTGCTGCAAATGAAGATGATCTACGAAAGGCTGATGATGCTGCTAAGGAACTTGAAGCTGCTGGAGGGCTTGTAGATCTCTCAGTTGATATTGATAGGTTGCAAGGAAGATGGAAGCTGATATATAGCAGTGCATTCTCATCTCGTACTCTAGGTGGGAGCCGTCCTGGACCTCCTTTGGGAACATTCCTTCCTATAACTCTTGGACAGGTCTGTTACTGGCCACATGGATAATACTCTGATACTCCTCTTTATTCAATAACAAGTTCCCAAATGTGTAGTATTTATTGCTTTTTAAATCTTTTCTGCTGATAGGTTTTTCAACGAATTGACATCTTAAGCAAAGATTTTGATAATATAGTGGATCTTCGATTGGGTGCTCCATGGCCCCTACCACCTCTCGAATTAACAGCCACATTAGCTCACAAATTTGAACTCATAGGTTGGTTATGTGTTTCGTGCTTTTGTTTATTATGTGTATATGCATGGTAGATTTTGTGTGATTGCTACTTATTGCCTGATGTGAGATTTGTAGTTATGTACTATGGTATGGTCTTGAAACTGCTTTCGTTTTTATCTTGTATGTTTGTAATGTCCCAGGATCTTCAAAGATCAAGATAGTATTTGAAAAAACCACTGTGAAGACAGCTGGGAATTTGTCACAGTTGCCACCGTTAGAGGTGCCTCGAATTCCAGATGCATTAAGGCCTCCATCTAATACAGGAAGTGGAGAATTTGAAATTACTTATCTTGACAATGATACCCGCATCACAAGAGGAGATAGAGGCGAGCTAAGGGTCTTTGTGATTTCTTGAGCTCCTGGCGCACTTACTATGTGTTTTCTCTGTTGGACTTGAAAATCTTCCAACACCTGTGTCTGTCATCTTTTTGTCTTTTTTTTTTTCCTGACAGTGTTTGTATATGCTATTCAATATTGTAAACATGGATTTACAGATAGAGCTAAACCCCACTATGTAGCTCCAAGGGATCAAGGAATTTTTTTTTAAATGTAACATATTTATCTTTAAGGAATAATTGCTTATAGTTCACTAGATATAGAAACTTGAATACACACTCTATTCTCTTTGATGTAGGGCGTTTTTCTTTTCCCTCTAATGTTTTATCATATTTCCTATTTTTGTTCTCCATTATGAAAATCCTTTATGGCAATCAAATTCAAATCCATTCTTTTGCCACTTAAAGTTTTAAAGAAAATAAATTTTAGAGGTTGTGCATTAACTATAATCCTCCTAGTCCTGTATTATGACTTGAAGATACCTGATGTCTTCATACTTATGTAACTTTATTCCTGATATTGCCTCAAGCCCAGACAGGATGGATGATCATTCGGTGTCACTTTTTGGGGTTTCTGCAATTGGTTGCTAAGATACAACATTGGTAGCTTCTCTCCTTGCCCCCTCATTTTATTCCTCTCAGTCTTTGTAATTGTAAGCAATGAAATTTAGCAACAGTTATTTTAAAATTACAAATACTTTATTTGAGCACGGAATTTTTTTTATAATTTCGTGCATATATTTTAGGGAGATTTTTATAGCATTGCTTTTTTTGTTTATGTATATATAATTGAGAAATGCATGCCTCTAAATACACTTAATTATAGACGCAATAATTTCTCAACTCTCATGTTTCGTAGGATGTTGCATGTTGGTTTCCCTTGGAATACAGTATTCTAAGATAATGTTAATCAAACTTTAGCATTTTAAATTCATGAGGATAAAAGTTCCTACGAGTTTTCAGATTCTCTCATAAGAAGTGCAATGTAAGAGTGATCAATATGTCAGCACCGAAGCAGGAATGCATTTATGATGGTCAGAACTTAAGATTTTGCAAAACGTTTATTATCCCTTGCTTGTTTATGGTATGTGAAGGTACATTAGTTTGTCTTCTATTGCTTGCTTGCTGTTTTCTGCATCACATATGAAAAAATTGTAAATAGGAGAAAATAGTCAAATATTGTTGTATTGAATAACTATGGTAATTGTGGTTCATGTGAAGCATTTCTATTTTGAAATCCATGCAGATCTTGCTGTCCTAACAAGTAACAACTCTCAGGATGGCAGAAGCTTAATCTTTGGAAGACATCAATAGCAAATTGCAAATAAGTGAGAAAGCTACATCTTCATTCTAGTCTACTGTGCTGTTAGTAGGTCTTACCCAGACCTATCTCCAAGAGCCCTGAATGTCAACAGGCTGAACATCAGGTAGGTGAGAGACCTGAGCAAATGATACTAAAACTTTAACAAGAAAATGTACTAACGACTCCTTGGACTATAAGCATAAAGCTTCAATGGCAGTATTGGCGATAGAGTTATTCCAGTTACAGTGATTCTGTGAACTGATCCTCAATGAAAAGTAAAACATAGAAGCACTTGGTAGCATGATCTATATTGTATTTGAAAGACAGTGGTTTGTAGATCCACCAACTGACTACAGTGGATGACACACCACTTTATTTCCATTCACTGATATGCAACCCATGCAGACTACTTTGTGAAGCTGGAAAAGAAAACAAAAATATGGTTTCACTTTACCATCTATATGTATGCGTTACTAATGAGTTGCTTTTTGTTATGGAGAAATATAGGTGTTGGATGTGGATTTAGTTTCTTCTCCTCTACTTACTACAAAAGAATAATGAGTTATAGTCTTCTCATATTTTATTGATATGACAAAATGAGAACCATGATAGCATCTGCTGAAACCCATCTTGTATAAATAGCATCTGCTGAGGAGAATCTCTATCCCAGAATCTCAGCACCGATTACTGGCATGTGTGACTTCAGTTGAAATATGCAGGGGTTTCCCAAGTTTGGTTTTTAATAGCTTATAAGAGGTTGGATTCGATGATGAAAGTTCGTTTAATGTTTTATTGACAACTTCATCAATTTTAAGACGCCTAGCAATTAGCATTACTTAATTAACTCTAATTAATTGAATCTTTTTTATTATAATATGTTACTTGATCAAAATATCAATGTTTTTTAGTTTTCAACTAACTGTTGTTGTCTGCGATGTTTATGTTAGCTGTAAAATGATCAGTGTGTATTTTTATCCATTGAACTTTCGTTTCATAGTTAAATAACTTTTTTGTACGGTAAATTCTATTTTTTTGTATAAAGTAAAGTCTTTTATTTTTTTTGGTCGTTGGTGCTCAGATTAACAAAAGCAGCAAAATGCATCAGGGGCAACGGAAACTTTCTTTTATTTCGTTTGTATCTTACACAAACATGTAGCACAAAATTATAAAGGGCACAAGAAATTGTGTTTATGTTGCCTTGGGCACATGCAAGCGTGGTGAAGAGAAAGAGATGAGACAAAATCCATAAAAAAACAAAAGACATAATACTGATAAAAACGTTTTTTTTTAGTTTTAATTCTTTTAACATATTTGAGATAAATAAAATAAAGGAAATCGAACCGAGTCCAAAGAAACATACCTGAGGATTAATTAGAACTTAAGTTACCAAACCCGTTTTTAATTAAAGTTCACAAAAAAAAGTTATTCAAACTTCAAAAATGTTTGATAAAATTGTCCTTTAATTATTTTCTTATCCGGTCAAGATTAAGTGCTTACAGCAATATTTTTAATAAAAATTTAAATTTTTTTGGTCAAAGAGTGATAATCTTGAAAGAATGCAAAACATTTATAAGAGCTTTTTAATTAAAAAGCTCATGAAAAAGCTTTTTAATTAAAAAGCTCATACATAATAATGCCTGACATTTATAATTAAAAAAATGAAAGAAATACTTTCATAAACTTACATTTTTCAGATGTCTTAACAGTTCAATCATAAATTAATATTTATCTCGTTAACAAATTTCCAATCTTCAATCATATTGTAATTCCGTACATTTGAATTATTTTTTATTTTCACGAGAAAGTTATTTATAACTTTTGTTTTTATTGCATCCTGAAAGTTATTAATTGTTTCAACGTCGTCTTTTTTGTTTTTTCCCAAATAACTTATGGCAAGTGTTTTAGGTGTCACTACTTATTCATTTAGGATTAAACTTTGATCAAATTAAAAAAAAAAAACTAATTACATAATCCCTTTTATTTTAATTATGTATGATTTTATTTTTAATTTTTGTTACCAATCAAGTCTCTTTATTTTAAAATAAGGAAAAATTGGTCATATTTGTTTCAATTTTTTCCTATCTAGAACTTTAAAATTCTTATTTTTAACTTAAAATCCTTACAAATTGAATCAATTAAACTATTTTAAATATTCTTATTCTCAAATATCACAAACTAAAACATCAAACTCTACTTTACAAAATTGAAGTTATTTTCCCATTTCAAACCTTGATATCAGGTCCTGTAAAATTCTTTTTAATTTTATCAAAATTTTGCTAAATTCCATGCTTTTAAATTTTAAGTTTTTTCTTTTCATACTTTTAAAATTGGTACATATATAAAATTCATTGTAAACCCTCGAGTATTTAGATAAAAAGCAATAATTTAAAGATTTTAGGTAAAAAAAACTATTGATATTAAGATGAAATTTGCTTAATTTTATAAATCGAGAGACTAATTTTAAAATGTTATTTTGAACTTTGGGTTTATTTAAAATCACATGCACCTCTGCCTTTTTCCTGAATTTAAAATTATATATTTTTTTATCATAAAAGCTGAAGCATGTTTCTTTCTTTCTTCTTCTTCTCTTCTCTTTTTTCATATAGCATTAAAGAAATGTGGTTAAAATGCAATATTGACCAATCAGCATCCTAAATTTAAGCCAAAATTATTACAATTTAGTAAGGCTCAGAATTAATTGAAAAAAACTTCCGAAATAAAATATTGATTGCAAAAATAGGTTTGCATTAGAATTTCTTTTATTAAGTTCATTCGCTAAATCTATCATTTATTTGGATTTATTTTGTGAGCTTATGCTCCCAAAATAAAAATCTGAATGGAAGGGAATTTCCCTGAAAATATAAATGGAACACATATAGACGTTAGAACTGTAACGGCTACATTTTGGTTGAAATTTCAAACTCCTTCTTCTCTCTTTCTCTCACTCATCTTCTTCATTTCTAGCTTTTCTTGCACTTTCTTCCTCGTTCGTTATTCTCAATCTTTCATCTTATTTCTTTTGTGGGTCTGCTTCACATTCAATTTCTCATCGTCATGGCTCCCACCCCTTCTTCAAAACCAAACCACTCTACTCAGTTGAAGACTCCACAATCCAAACACCGCCTCAATTTCAATGGCCTTAAAGCAGCACCATCACAAACACACCCTTCTCCCAATCCCAATTCTGTTGCCAACAAGGAACCCCCTCCTGAACACCCAATTGAAGTCATTGCCAGAATCCGTGACTACCCAGATAAAAAAGACAAGCCTTTATCGGTTCTTCAAACCAGTTCCAACTCTAATTCTATTAGGGTTCGTGCAGATTTTGGGTACCGTGACTTTACCCTTGATGGTGTTTCTGTGTCTGAGGAAGAGGACTTGGATGTCTTCTATAAGAAGTTTGTGGAATCTAGGATCAATGGGGTTAAGCTGGGGGACAAGTGCACCATCATGATGTATGGGCCAACTGGTTCTGGCAAGAGTCACACCATGTTTGGGTGTTCAAAGCAGGCAGGGATTGTGTATAGGTCTCTGAGGGACATTCTTGGAGATGGGGATGCTGACGATGGTGGTGATTCAAAAGGAGAGCATCTTGGGTTGGGGACTTTTGTTCAAGTCACTGTTTTGGAGATTTACAACGAGGAGATTTATGATCTCTTGTCCACAAATGGGGGAGGTGGAGGAGGAGGATTTGGATTTGGGTGGCCTAAAGGCAGTGCTTCAAAGGTAACAATATAATAATCTACGTTGGATAGTTGGTTGATCACTGTTATCTTTTTCTTTTTTTGCTCCTATCTTGTGTCTGTAGGGTTTTGTTGCATCTGGCTAAATTTGTTTATTTTGTGGCTCATTTTGCCTTTCATTTTCCCTTGGCCATATATATGATTATATGCTTTTCTCTGTAAATTTTCTGCTATGCTTCTTTCACAATAAAAAGATGAGTCAGTCTTGACACCTAGCTTTTTAAAGCTTGTTTTGGAAGACCATGGATCAACGGATTGCATTGCTTATTGGAATTTTGGAGTGGATCACAATAATTAGCTAAACGGCTCAATGTTTCTCTTATTTGTACTCATACATGATTGTCATCAGCATAACGAAAGACTTACAATTCTTTTGGAAAAAAAATATTGTTTATGAGGACTAGTTTTTACATATCAATAATTTAAAATCAGTTAGTTTGGAAATATTAACTGAACGATTGCTTTTTAACTTAAATTATCTTCCCTGACATTTGGATGGCTTTACTTTCTTACTTCCACTATTTTACTTGAAGGTGAAACTTGAAGTGATGGGGAAAAAGGCTAAGAATGCAACCTATATATCAGGAAATGAAGCAGGCAAGATCTCGAAAGAAATTCAGAAGGTGGAGAAGCGAAGAATTGTTAAAAGCACACTTTGTAACGACAGGAGTTCAAGAAGTCACTGCATGGTATGGTTGCTTTGGAAGGTGGTTCGGATTTATTAAGTTCCATTGATTGGTAACTGATTGTATGTCTTTCATGTTGATAAGGTAATCCTTGATGTCCCAACTGTGGGAGGGCGGCTAATGCTTGTAGACATGGCAGGATCAGAAAATATTGAACAAGCTGGTCAAAGTGGATTTGAGGCCAAAATGCAGGTAATTTCTTTGCCATAATGATTTTCTTTCTTGAGTTTCTTCAATCTTGCAGTTCTCTAATGATTACATTATACTGTCGTTGAAATTATAGACTGCAAAAATCAATCAAGGAAATATAGCGCTGAAGAGAGTGGTGGAGTCCATTGCAAATGGTGATTCACATGTGCCTTTTAGGGACAGCAAACTCACCATGCTTCTGCAGGTAAATAGTGTTTCTTAATTGAGTGAATTGCTGGACTCATGTTCTGTTATTTTAAGTTTTATTGATGCAAATACTTTTTCTGCTTTCCCTTTTCAAGGATTCCTTTGAAGATGATAAGTCAAAAATTCTGATGATACTGTGTGCAAGTCCTGATCCCAAGGAGATACACAAGACAATCTCTACTCTTGAATATGGAGCAAAAGCAAAATGCATAGTCCGTGGCCCTCATACTCCAGTTAAGGATGATGAATCATCTTCTGCTGTCATTTTGGGATCAAGAATTGCTGCAATGGATGAATTTATCTTGAAGCTGCAAATGGAAAGCAAGCAAAGAGAGAAAGAGCGAAATGAAGCACACAAAAAGCTTTTGAAGAAAGAGGAAGAAATTGCTGCATTAAGAGCTAAACTGGACATGGCAGAAGGGAAAGGAACTCCTGCAAGTGAGGAGGAGATTAACTTGAAGGTAAATGAACGAACCCGACTTCTGAGACAAGAGTTGGAAAAGAAGTTGGAAGAGTGCCAAAGAATGACAAACGAGTTTGTTGAATTGGAGAGGAAGAGAATGGAAGAGAGGATATTACAGCAGCAAGAGGAGGTTGAAACTCTGAGAAAGAGACTAGAAGAAATTGAGTTGCAGCTATGTTGTTCAAGGCATGGGTGTGGTGAGGAAACCGAATCAAAAGACATGGAGTCAAGTGGGTTTATGAGAAGGCTATTGCGTGTCTATAAAAGTGAGGAGGATCCTGGAATGGTGAAATCAATGGATTTGGACATGGATGATCAAGAACCCCTCGCCCGTGAAGTGAACATTGTTGGTGGGGTTATGTGCAAGGGTGATCACAATTTTAAGCAAGACTTCTCTAATCAACCTTGTACACAAGAAGATGCTCATGTTTTTGCACCAAACTTTGGCCAAAGAGTATGTCTCAGTACAGTATATGAAGACGAAGGAGAAGGAGTTGATCATGAAGACAAAGGAGGGGAGGATGAGGAAGTGGAGAAAGAGGTCATTGAAGAAAAGAGGCTATGTACTTTTGACAAGCCTAGTGCAGCAGCCCCCTTGTCAACCTTAAACAGAAGTCCAAAGAGAGAGGATTACTGTTTTAAGGCAAGTTCAGTGGATGACAAGGATATTGGGTCTTCTAGACTACTGAGAATTCAAAATATATTCACTCTTTGTGGAAACCAAAGAGAGCTCTCCCACCACATTGGAACCCCAATTCCTACAAAAAAGAGGTCTGATGAAACTTTTGATCTCAGGTTTTCTCCTGCAAGGACAAACGAGAAGGATTCCATTTTTAAAATCTCCAACAAGGAGAACCTGGAACCACATAATATTTTGGGAAATTAATTGCTTCAATTGTTTGTGCTGAAAATTGAAAAAGTTGTGTAACATATGATGGATGGATGTGTTTCCTTCTGGAAATGTGACTTGTAGACTATTTGACTATTTCATTATCTAACACCTGAGTGTTATTACTATGTTTTTTTTTCGTACTTCCTTTTTTAATATGTATATAGTTTCATCTGATTGTTGTTTGTTGTACTACTTTGTTCTATAAATATATATCTGTTTGCCCTTCTTCGTGCTGTGTTATAAACTAGTTGGTAGTTATGCACAAATCACTTTTACTGACACTTTTACTCCAGCACGTTTCACATTTATCAGTAGGTTCAATTTATTGGTTTAAAAAGTTGTAATATTTGACAAAAAAAAAGTTACATTAATTCACTGTTCTTTTTAAAAATAATTTCACATGTAATAAGAATCCATCTTACCCCATTCAAACAATTTTCTTTAAAATTTAACCTGTTTTACACACCATTCCTTGCTGTAAATTAATTTTTTTAACATATAATCTAGAGGATCCAAAATAACCAATGACACTATTTAAAAGTTTTATAAAAGAAAACTTGAAAGATAAAAAAAATATTGAAGAAAAGTTATATTGAAAGGATGGAAATCATAACATCAAGCATGATTATACTCAAGAGATGTAATGAAACAATTAATTAATAATGGAAGAACAAATTTTTGCCCCTGAAATCTCTCTCTAAATCTGAACCTGATGCCAGTCCACTATCACCAAAGAGAGAGAATCTCTCTCTCTCTTTCTCTCTCTCCCTCTCTCTCTACTGAGAGGTAGGCCCAGGCCCAGACTCCGTAAAGGAAATATCTGTTAAGGATCCTCCTTTGGATTGTCTTCGAGTTCTTGAAGCCTTTCTTGTGGACCCATCTTTTTCCTCAGATGTTGTCTTGGACTTTCTACGAGGCTTGCACGATGTTGGTGGTTTCTCCTCTTCTGATGAGGGACGATTCATTTTTCTAGAAGATTCTGAAGAATGATGTCGTCGACTAGGCTTCGATCCCTCAGTTGGGTTCTCTCGAGCAGGAGAATTCGTTGTGGATTGCCCCTCTATAGAACGTGGCCTTGACTTTCGAACTCGCTTTCCATCACTTTTGCTGTTATTATTATCATTACTATTGTTATCTGCATCGTAAAAATACCACAATGTTTATGATTAAGCTATAGTATCTCACATCTATATGACTAATCCAATCATTATAATAAGATATGATCGAACCTTCAGGTGTCTTGGTGGAGTTTACTACCGTTCCTGAAGCAGGTTCTGGCGTTTCTTTAAACTCAGTCATCTACACAATTTCTCATTAAGAAACAAATGAAAATGTGTAGACGGTTATGTGGATAATAAATTGGAAGAGAGAAAGAAAAAAGAGAAAATGATACCCAGCTTGGCGGAGTTGCTTTTGCATCTTCACAACCAATATGTGCCAAATGCTTTACATCTGTTGGGAACCCAATTTGTATTTCCTTTTCACCTTCCTCATCTGCAATTTCATCGTTGCTTAAATTAACATTTAAAGTTTTTTAATTTTCAAATTTATTAGAATTTTAAAAAAGCATGAATAATTTTCAAATTTTATGTGCAAAGTTGCTTGGTGGATGAAATCAATTGCATGAGTTTATACAAATAGGCATGTTTATTCTTGTTTAAGGGAAAAGAAATAATATGATAGGAAATGAAATGTAGTTGTACACAATTAAGGAAGCATGTTTCCTATTTTATTTCTTCGTGACAACAGAAGATTATGCTTACCAAATATCTGGGATATGTATCTAAGCCCTTTAAGGAGGCCTTTCATCTGGCCTTTCACTGCAGTTGACGACATTTTTGAAGCTCTTGAACAATTTGCACTCGAAACCTTTCACTTCAAAGGTGTTAGAACCTCCAATCTTCGATTGAATCAACTACAAATTTCTGAAACCCAAAATAGATCATACAATAAATCTTCTTTTACCATTTAATCATTTTGCCTCAATCTCATTATCAACCAATCACATCGTTTCATGACTAAATATTTTATGGAGACAATCCTCGAATAACATGTGACAATTTTTAACGGGTTGGTTAATGTTTTCTAGCTCTTAATCTTTTTAAAAGAAGAAAACGAAGCTTCCATACAATCATCATAATATAGACTAATTCAATTGAAAATGAAACCCCAATCCTTCCTTTTAAATTTTCATTTTCTAAATAAAATAAAAAAATAAGAATGCAATATAAAACATATGACTGACCACCTTCTGGACAAATGTTTGAATCAACCATATATATGATGATTTGGTTGGCAACAAAGAACTAACGTTGATGACAAGATGGAGATTTTTTTTTTTTTTTTGAAGATTAGCAGTTCTTGGTTGGATGTTTTGGAATGAGCATCCAAATCCAAACCAAGAAGAGGGAGACTTCAGGTTAAAAAATCTTTAAATTGTATAAAACAAAAAGCATTGGATTTGATTTACCGCCCCCTATCGGTGGCTAGGCAAATGAAAACCAATAACTCCGATGGAAGTCTAGAGAGGTTTCATCGGAATTTTCATGTGCGTTGGCTAAGTTTGGGATAAGTGTTATAAACCTAATTTTAGTGAAAGTGTGAGAAAAAGACGGGTTGAAAAGTATAATTGTATGGTATATGCAAATTTGGTGAACCTTAATTTTAAAAATATATATACTATTAACGAAGAGATGAAAATCATTGGGAATTTCCAACTAGCATTTTTTATTTAGAATTTTAAATCTTTAACTGTGTCATACTCAAGCGTACGTACGTGACATGTTGCCTTCCCATGCATTTCGTAAACTTTCATGTATTAACTCGATCTCGATCCTTTTATTAAAATGGGTAAAAGTGGTCTTGCAAGTAAAAAACTAAATTTAACTTTTGTTTAACACCAATCCCGTCGAAAGTTTAAGGTCCCATGAGATACTGTGCAAAGAATATCCATGAGGTTGAAGTTTCCAATGACATGGTGGCCTGTTCAATTTGAAGTTTGCTTTGTGAGGCTTGCAGGTATATATATGTTGAACACTCATTTTTATCCATTTTAAAAATGGTCTGAAAATTGATAGTTTGTATTGTCCAAAGGTAGGGATAATATGCAGGCTTTGGATAAGGTACTAATAATACATATTCATACTTGTATTAAAGAAAAGAGATTTAGAAAAGTTGATGACAAGTTTATAAAAATAGTTTCATTTTCATAAACTTTTTTTAACTTGTTTTAATTTTTTTTTAAGTTTAATTTATCAAAATAATTTTTTTAAATTTTGTTCTATTAAATTTTATGATTAAATTTTTTTTTTCTTTTTAAACTGTAGGTATTTTTAGAAGCAACACAGTTGGAGTTGAATTTTTCTTTTAAATATTCAACACAATTACATTAATTGAGATTCAAACTTGAAACAACTCATTAAATTAAAGACTAAACCTTCACTTTAATCCTTGAGAGAGTTTGAGTCCAATATTTTAATTTCTGAGACATTTAAAATATCATGTTAATTTCTAACTTTTTTTTCATCATTTATTTTAGTCCTTAACGTCAAACCCCGTTAAAAAACTGTGACAGAAAGTTGAGTTGTCACATCAAGTGCTACATCAGAATTCTACTTCACAAAAACGACATTGTTTTTGAAAGTTAGGATGACACTTTAACTGTGAAATTGTGTCGTTTTGATCTAAGGACCTATTTGCTAAACATTGACCATACATTTGGATAATTACCACCACCACTGGAACTTCCATGCTCTTTACTACCTCCTAAACTCTGAGAATTCATCGCCATGTGAACTGCCGCAGTGATCATGGCTAAGAAAAAAATCTCAATCTCAACATAAATCTGAGATATTGGAACCACTTGCCTGCCTAATGAACTCCCTCCCAATCCATACTTAGACTTCACCTCAACACGAGAAGGTGGAGCATGAATGCTCTCATCACTTATTGTTTTCCATGGGGCAAAGTGCAAATCTGGAGTGTTTGGACGAGAAAGAAAGGCTTTGCAGCAAGCTGAGTTGTACCCAAATTTTATTTTTCGAGCATACGAAAAAAGAGTCCAGCTGAGCATATTTGTTTACGAGTTTCTTGATCCCAGAAATCTTGTACTCAAAGTCACAGATAAAGTTGACTACCCAACAATGGAGTGGATGACCCCCCATTCTTTCTAGTGGGTTTTTTCTCGTTCCTTTTGGTACCATTCACCCTTTTCCAAGCATAGGTAGAACCCCTCTTTCCTATACACAACAACAGATCCAAGCAAGATGAGTAGTTTATAGTTGGGAGATGAGTAGTTTATAGTTGGGGTAGACATACCATCAAGGGTCTGATACACAGATCATAAACAAAATGATCTAAAGTCTTCACAGTCCTACAAAACACCCAAAATGAAAAAAAGTAAAACATTACTAAGGGCTGATACACAGATCCATCAATAAAAAAACTCTCATTAAACCAATAGAAAATAAAAATCATGCACAATTAAAAGTTACAGATCTAATTTCCTTATCTTGTTTATCCCTAAAACATTACTAAGGGTTCTTTGTCTCCAAAACAAAAAAATGACTCAATAAATTAAAAAAAAAATTCACCAAATTCTCCATCTATTGGCCCTTCTACCTTTTTCCACTACAACAAACTTCAATATTTAAATATTTCACCTCCAAGCACAACTATGAACAAGAATTTAGGTGAGATCCTGCATGGACTTCGGGTAAGATTCTTTTTTAACAAAAATGAGGAAATACGTGATTAAGTTGGACAAAAGGGGCTTCAATGACAATGATACCGTTTTGCAATTATTTGTACTACGCCAACTTCTAAAAACGATGTCGTTACTGCTAAGTGAGATTCTGACGTAGCACTTAACGTGACAGCTCAGCTGTGATGGTTTCTTAGCAAGATCTGACGTCAAGAACTAAAATGAATAACAGAGAAAGAAGTTGAGTACTAACGTGATATTTTAAATGTTTCAGGGACTAAAATACTAGACTCAAACTCTCTCAAAGACTAAAGTGAGGGTTTAGTCTTAAATTAAAATAATCTTATACTAATTGATTCATGTGCTATAAATTTATACTATAAATTTCAAATAACAAAACATATTAAATAAACACATAATAAAATCATTTATTTATTCAATCAGCTCATTATACCTATACTTGTAACAACTCTGGTGCTCATGTCCTATTCAACAAAAATCAAACTCAATCGATTATTTGTGTTTAAATTAAATGAATTGTGATTTTTCTTTTAACTTATCTTTCTTATTTTGCAAAATAATGAAATAAGAACATTTTTAATACTAAAATCAACTATAAAAAGTCAATAGAAAAATATGTATTAAAACTACAGTATTTAAATCAATTTAAAATTTAAAAATCGTTTAAATTCTAGTTATAAAATACAATAAAAAAGGTAATTAATAAACCACAAGATAAGCTAATTTTAATTAATAATCATGTAATTATGTATGTATTATAATCAATGTAATTTTAATAAATCAAAAATTAACTATTCCATATTCATATTCATGGCTTTTTTCTATAAATAAATAAATTTTAAATACATCATTTTTTTAAAATCTTGAAATATGTCTCTCTTTTGTTTAGTGTTCAAGTTAGTACAAAACATGCTCAAGTTTAACTTAATTGTGTTCAAGGTTTTAGTGAGATTTATTTAACCAAACTCATCTAAAATTTAGAATATAAAACACTTGAAGGTAGGTTAATGCAACATTCACACTAATACCAACAAAAAAAAAAAAATTCTACAACAACTTTTAACATTAGTTAATTTTTTAAATATAAAAAAAATACATAAATTAAATCTTAATAATACGAAGTCATCATCTTAATATTCTATTATTACGCAATCAAGCAACAAGAAGAATATCATACCAAAATAAACATTTGTTTCTTAAAAAAAATCGACAAAGTAAAAAAAATGTAAAAATACTAAAAAATATAAAAATAAATTAGAAAAAATAGACAAAACATTAAATTAAAAAATTATTCAAATTTCCTTCAAGTATTTGATTAAATAAATCTTTAAAAATTTTATAAAATATACATATAATTTGTATAAATAAAACTTAAACAAATTATACATTCATGTTAATGCAAGTTGCAAATTCATGCTATGTTCAATTATTAGTACGTTCTTTCTCATAATAAAGTCAGTCATGTTACTGAATACTGTGTAAATTATAAATCGTAGATCTTGATGACTTATTTCTAAATACAGTCATGTTCAAATATGATATTTTTAAAGATATTATTATTTTTATTCATAACATAAAAGCCCCGTGTCTATACCAAGCTTACGCCCATCAATTTAATGGGTAAAAATTAATCAATTGTTGACAATTTGTAAGAAAATTTTGTAAATATTAATTAATTATAAGTCTAATTATTATCTTTGAACAAAGGCTAATATTTCTCTTGCTTGTCAATTCCATCCAGGGAGAAAATAATTGACCGGTGAGAAGGACATGCCTTTATATTTTATTGAACGAGAGAAAGAACATTTTCAATGGTAATGAAAGTGTTACATGACAAATTCTTGCCCTTCTCTTAGGCTGGCGTGGTGCTTATTAAATGTTTAAGTTAGTGCTTAATTAAAGGATAAAACGTATATATTATTTTAATAAAATACTAGTTAGTAATTTGTGTAATTTGTAAAAATAGATTTTGGTTCAAATTTCTCATTACAAGTTTTTTGACAAAGAAAATTGTGATATTTGAATAATAAAAAATAAAGGCTTATTTGGAAATTTTAAATCTTTGAGAAACTATAAAAAAAAAAATTATAAAGTTCTTTCACAGTTACACAATCCTGCTATATTCTAAATAAAAAATTACAATGAGAGAAAAATTTCAGATAGTAAAAGTAAAATTATGTCTTTTTATCCGTATCTTAACCATCATTTTAATTAGAATCATAAATTTAAAAATAACAAAAATAATTTTAGATTATCTATAGAAAGAATATCTAAGAGATGAAATGATTTGATGCATGCAAGTGATAAATTTTATGAAGAAAATTTGAACTTCAAAAAAAAAAAAATCTCAAATAATTAAAGTATATTCAAATAAATTATTTAGCCTGACTAATAAGGTAAAATTATTAAGTATTGAGAAAGATTTAAAGGTATAATTATCATTTTAGAAAATATTAAGTATTTATATGAAACTCTTAAATGTCTTATAAGTAAAAAGAGTAAAGACATGCATAGAGCTGTTAAAAAGTCCAACTAACTCAATCTTATCCTTAGCTCATGTGTATTAGGGCCAAAAAAATCTAATAAATCAGAAGTCCTATACACAATATTAAATCAGGATTTTATGTGCTAAAAAAATTACTAATATATACCTTAATATTTTAATGATTTATACAATAAAAAAATTGTCAAACTCATAAAAATTTACATGTTAATAATGCGTTTTCAATATCAAATAAAACTATGATAAAATTAAAATTAAAAATATTTTAATTTATTCAAATATATTTAAAAGGTTTTATTGTGATAATAAAAGACCATTTGTTATATATTTTTTTCTTTAATACATGAATCTTTATTATTGTTAAATAATGGTGACACTTTTAACTTTTTTTATATATAAAAAATTGTCAAAATATGGTGTTTTGAGAAAAATTATGCAAATATGAAAATTTTTAAAATGAAAAAAATCACAAATGATGTTTTTTGCATTTGAAAATTTTTTTATTATGGTAATTTTTTATTTTTTATTTTTTTTTAAATTGTCATTGTCAAGATTTTACTTTTAAAAAAATAATATTTTTTAAAATCGTTCATTGTTTCATCTTTGAATCTCTATACCCTATACTTGCACCAAAAATCACTATTGACGATTTTTTAATCCTCATTTTCATAATTTTTTAAATATACTATAGTTTAGTATATATTATTTTTAAATGTCATATGTAAAAAATAATCTGCTTTTATATTTATAATTCATGCAAAACTTGTTAAGATTTTTTTATAATTTTTTATTATTATTGTATATTATTATTTCTTACTTATTACTTTTTTATATAAAAAATTATTTTAGATATCATTTAGTATCAATATATGCATCTTAATTACTATAATTAAATAAAATTAATTTTATAAATTGTTTATATTAAAAATACTAAATTTATTGGCAAATAAATAATAAAAAAATTCTTGAAATAATATTAAATTTATTATAATAATTAATTGGTAAGATTTATTTTTAATAATAAATAAAGACATTAGTGCAAAATAATTATTTTTATATTTTAAAGTAATAAATCATTTGAAATAAATATAAAATATTGAAATAAAATTTAATATGAAATAAAAGGAATATACTTATCACATCTATTTTTTTCATTTAAATATAAATATATAACTAAACTAATTCTTTGAATCGTTTAAATTTAATATTATTGTTTATTGTATCACAAAATTATAATATATTTTAAGTCTTAACTAAGTTAGTTATGATAAATAATATTTATTATAGTTGGTCTAAAGTAATGTGACAATGGTAAAGAGGTCGGAAAAAATAATTTCAAAACGTTAATTTATACTTTTCATAGCATAAAGTATATATGTAAATATATAGACATACCTTTTATAAAATATTTACTATTCTTTCAAAGTTTATGTCATAATTTATATATTTTATGGTTAATATTTTCAAAGTAATTAATAAAAAAACTAATAAAGGTAAAAGAAACATATATAAAGAACTTTTAATATTAATAAAGGTAATACATGTAACTCAAACATTAATTTCAAGAGGAATAAGCTGATTAATTTTTCTAATAGTAACTAAAATGATTCAATTAATAATGTAAGAAATCGTGAATTAAGTTCTATAACAAAAGAAGATTTTATTTACAAATTTCATTTAATTTTAATACAAAATAAAACTAATATAAGATTTTTATTAATAACAAATCTATTTTCTATTAACAAATTTAAACTAAAAAAAATGTTTGTTGTTTGTAAAGTAAGAAAGAAAGTTAATAATATGTTTTTGTAATTGCTTTTATAACTACTTTTTGTTGTTTTAGTTTATTAAATAAATATCTCAGTCAATAAATAATTTTTACATTTTAAAAATAATTTAGTTTATTATTATTAAAATCTTAGTTCCATTTTCAGTTTTTGTTTTATCTAAATTATTATAAATGTTCCATTGCTATTGAACAGAGGTGAGTTTATTCTTCATTCATTCTCCTCTCCTCACAATTTTATGCCTTTTTATGCTATAAAAACAAACAATAGCACAAATTTTGTTCCTAATTAAAAGAGTAATAAAATGATCACAAAAAAGTGAAACAAATGCACAGCAACACGTTGAATAATTCTATAATAAATGCAGAACAGCCTTTGAGGAATTAACAAGCAAAAATTATCTTGGTTAAATACAGACTAACCACATCAAAGTCCCAAGATTCTATACCACCATGCAGAAAACAAGTAATTTGCGTACATGATTAAGTCAGTGATTGTTTATCATGTTGATTGTTGCCAATACAGAAGCATGGAGTTTAAAGACTCAACATAAAATACGGGGCACAATCAAAGAGGAGTTCATCAAAAGACTTCTGATCTTGAAACCATGTTTCATGAAGCCTTCATGTCATCCAAGCCCAATCGAGCCTGCACCAAAAGAATAAGCCTTTAAGTTCCTAAATCCTTTTAAAACTAAAATAAATTAATATATTTATCTGGGTAGTGGAAGATGTTATCTATGGAATGCTATGATAACGAGATGATACATATCGCAGTCCTTTCAAATTTAGTGTGTACACACAGCCACACCCACACGGGGATTTATTGACTCTAGGATTAAGTCTTCGACATGTTACTTTACTTAATAACTCTTTTGGATTACAAATTTCATAAATACAACTTTTTAACCATATAATATCATCTTAATGATCATGCATGTCAAATTTTAGATGAATTAAACATTCATACGTATGTAATTTTATTGTTGACATTTAAAAAGTATATTATAGGTTTAAATTAAGTTGAAGTAGCAATCAAGTAGAATTTTGTAAACTTGATGCACTTAATGAAAACTCTCAAACCAGTGATTAGATTAATAAAATATAATGTCTATAAAAATAATTAAGCGAAATAAATTATCAAAGATTTACAATTGAAGTAAATAGATCCCTTCTCATATAAATATATGTAGTTAAGTGTCTCAAGTAAAAGATAAGTGTGAGAAAAGTAAATTTCAACTGCATAATTAAAATGGTGGTTAAGATTTAAAAATAAAATAAAAAATAAAAAATCTTGACATTCTTATGTAGTTGAATGACCAAAATCAACTCCTCACTTATCACACATGCACCAGATATGTCCTTATACATTTGCGCATGCTTATGCAGTCCAATGTCTTTTTTTCAGGTCATTTAGATCAGTTATGATAATGAATAAACTAAAAAATATCCAAGATATCTTACCAGAAATTTGTGATTCTCTTCAAGGAGAGGAGAAAAGTCAGTACAAAATTTCTCTATATCAGCAGTGATATCGGCAGTGCCTTGTATCACCTCCATGAATTTCTTCCTATCAGGAGCAAGCTTCATTGCTACCTGCATGTAAAGTATTTAACGTCATAGGAGCACATTGGACCAAATACTATACTACCCCTCAAAATAGATTAAGTCAATTGCCAAGAAAAAAACGGAGATGAATACATTTCCCTTGCAACAGAATATGAAATATTCGTGGGATGGGGGAAAAGATTGTAGCAAATAGACAGCACAATAATGAAAATAGTAACAATCCATTTCCAATGACAACTATTTTATGGTCCAGAATGTGACATTTGACAGACTTAAAGGACTATATGAAGCAACATTTTTCAATAAAAAGGTTCTGTTTCTATCAAGAATTTTCAAGATTGTAAGAAAAGAAAAAAAGCATCAAAAGAACATTACAGTGAAGCTTGAACTAGCAAGCCAGCCATGCCACTTCTTTAGAGTCTTGTTATAGGAATCTGTACAGGCTTGTGACATTGACCAATCTGCATGCTCAATTAAGTTTTGGAACAACGCCACCAAGAAATCCATTGCCCTGAAAATTTTACAGGTCAGAAATAAATGTATCATATATTAAAATACAAGAGCCAAATGCAATTAATAACTGTATTTTGAGGTCTCTGACCATAAAGTAAATATTAGTAAATTAATATAATTATTTAAAAATATCACCCTATTACTAAGGTTTAGGTTAGAAGAGCTACAAGGAAGGCTACTGAATTGATGTCCATGAGAGTCAGAATGAATGGACAGGGGTTGGGAATTAGGCAAAGGAGGGACTGGCTCCAATGTGATTGCCGGTACACATTGTAGTAGCAAGGAGTTAGGAATGACAGTGGCATTCTGTTATTAGAGGGGGGGATATATGTATTGAAGAGAGCATTGAGAGAGTAGGCAAGAATTAAGTGGTAAGGTGTTGAAGGAAAGAGGTCGGTTGAAGAATCTTTGTTTTTTCTTTCTTATGTTACTGGTACCTATCATTATCCCAATACATTGCCCTTACACTTTCAGAAAGGTAAGCTCAACTAGTAGAAGCTTCATAAGCTCAGAATAAAACAAAGAAAAACAAAACTCTATAATTGAAACCAGCAAAAGGATCCATCATTGAGTGAAAGTAAACAAAAACAATATAAAATTTCCATAACACCTTGAGAAAGTGACTCAACCAAAACAGACAAGAAGTAAATTCAGGCTTCTGATCATTTAGAAAAATAAGCCAGGATCAGATTTTGTTGGTCCACAACTAGAGTTACCAGAGAATATCATGGCAGATTTGTGATGATAGACACACTTTCATAATAACCATTCATGAATGAATGCACACATGCAGTTCTTTGAAGTATCTAATTCATAACTTTCGGGTCATGTCGCATTTTGGTCCCAAAGTTTGGAGAGCATATGTCTTAACATGACTTTTATATGAGCTTTGTTGTTAAAAACTTAAATCATTATTTCAGAATTCCAAACATATCTCAATATCTTTTTCATCGTAATCTTTTTTCCTTTGGCTGTTTGTTTGCTCATCGACAACAACCCTGCTTGGAGCATTAGAAATTAAAAAAATAATTCTCTAAAATTACAGATTTGGGAATGCCATCCCAATATTAATTACAAGTTAATAATAAGTGATTGGCATTCTTTACCTTGTAAGCCAAAGAAGTCCATTGGTACAACTGGATGACGACTTAGTCGTTTTAGTTTCAACCTCCGCTTGTACCAAACTGTACAGGTAGTTAAATCTGGTTGGATTGGAGGAATATTTAGATTCCAATCTCTGCCTTGACAGTCAACACAGTATAGAGTGAGAACATATAGCATTTGAAATCTTGAACCCAATATTAGTAAGGATTAAAAAGTAAATCATAGAACATACCAAAAGTTGTATAAGAAGTAAAGTGTAAGCATGTTTATACAAGCCAGTTAAAAAAGAATTAGAAAAATAAATCAACACCCAAGTTACACTTCAAGCATAGCAAGTCATATTAAGAAAGATGTATTAGTATTACATCTAAAGCCGCAAGCATGTGATGACCCATATATACCAAAAATAAAAAGATCCAAAAACTGGAGACAAAAACATACCGATATGTTACCCCCTATGTCAGATTTAACAAGGGTCATAGCTGCTCCAAACTTATCTGCCATAAGAAATGAATTAGTCCATCTAATCATGGTACAAGTACTCATATTGTCATACATTTGAGGCTTAACCAACCATCAAACAACAGCAAAAAGGTTAAAAATCTACTTTCTTATGCATGTTTAAGTTTTAGAGTTAAGCTTCTAACACACTACTACAGATTCAAAAATGTTCTTCAGTTTTTTATCGTGAAGGGTTTGTAATCCTCCTGTTTTTTACTCCTTTTCCTCTTAATGAAATCTTTCTTTTTTTTTTTTTTTTAAAAAAAAGGCTACAGAACACTTAAATAACCTAGAAACATGAGCTTGATGTGATATAGATTCCAAAATTGGTATTTAATCTAAGATCAATTTTTTTCCCTCACTGCAATGATATAATAATCTAAGAACCAAGCAGCCAGGAGAACAGAACCCACTGCGGAAAAAATCGCTTATATGCATCTTATCTTGTTCAAAGAGAGAAAAATCCATTAATACCTGGCAAATATAATATTATTTAACATACTCTACATTATTCAAAAGGTGTAAAGGACCATTGATATTTCCTCTCACAAAATAAAACATGGCAAACAAATGAAAAAAAAAAACACTGAAAAATGTCCAAATAACATGTTTGCCTTTCTTTTAAGGGACTAATACTATGTACCTATAACAGGCAGTATATGTTTGCAAGCATCCAAGAAAGGTTGGGTCAGAATTTCTCCTTGTTCTGACTTTGCGAGCTTAATTCCTTCCAATGCAGGAGTGAAAACAGACCCCTCCATTTTCTGCTTTGCTGCACATAACATGGTCATAACCTAATAAATAAATAGGTAAATAAATAGGTAAAAGTTTAACAGAGATCAAATCTACATTTAAGCCACTATTATTAAGATATTTCCTTTCTTTTCTCTGCCCGGTAAATTTCAGAATGTGAAATCAAGGGAACAAAAATACAGAATTCTCATCAGTAGCAGGCATGCAAACTACAGTGAAGTTTGGATTCAATTAAGGTGAATAGCGTGGAAAATATCCAAAAATCACACTAGCAAAGGCATGCAAAAGAAGCAATTTTAACGAATCAAAAACTTGACACTGATCATCACAATTTGTTTTCTTTGCATAATTGAACTTCGCTTTTGCTCATCACCAAATGCAAATGGAAGGCAACAAAACCCAATGAAATTAAATGGATAAAGGTGCAAAGTTCCGGGGTCAGATCGAAGAACAATTCTGAACAAAAATTGGCCAGCCTAGTTATAAATAAATAAATAAAAAATCAAAGCATTAGTGAACCAAAGCATGATGGAATAAAAATGGCAGATCTTGAATCAACGCCGAAATTGAAAAGTAGGAACAACCCAGCAACTGAATTGAGTTTAGAAGCATCCCCATAAACTAATTTTTCCAAAATCTCACAATTTTCCACAAAGTTAATTTTGTGGGAAACCAAACAAAACAAATAACGATCCGTGAACACGACGAAACAAACAACGTACATTGAACGAGGAAGACCGCGGTGATCTCAGTGAGAACAACAACTGTTGGAAACAAGATTTATACGCAGATGTTTTTATTTTATTTTATTTTATTATTATTATTTTTATGTTTTTTGGACTTTTGGGGGCGATCTGGGAATCTGAGCTATCGTCAGGAGCGGTTGGATTCCAAAGGTGACGTGGAATTTGTATACTGATATTTAAATACGTAACATATATAATTTTTTTAAAAAAATGTTAAAGTAAGTTGTCGAGACTGATTATGAGTAATTAAAAGCAATAATTATTTAAATTTTAGTATAAATAGTATTTTTAATGTTATTTTCCAATACTTAAAATGAGTTATAAAAAGTTAATGTTCCGAAATCTGATAATTAAAATAAATTTTCTTGGTTTGTTTGGTTGTTATATTACGCGGTTTCATGTTCAGATTTGTCACTACGAACGTGCAGAGATGATGGTACCTCATTTCCAGCATACAAGTTATATATACAGAGAGAGACCCGATATGTTTATAGAATATGTTCTTATTTTTATTTAATAAAAATATTTATATAAAGAAAATAAAAAAATTATAACTTCAAGAAAGATACACAAAAAATATTTGCAAGAAGCAAATGATTGAGAGCACTTAATAAAACATGAATTTGTATTACTAAAAAAAATATAATATATAAAAGATAGTTAAAATTTTATTTTATTTAGATTAAAACAACAGGAAATATTTTTGGTCGACACAAAAGGAGTATTCTCATTTGTTACCAAACATTTTGTGTAGAGAAGCGTGGTCCACTAAGAAAAAAATGGTAAAAGAAAATGTTGGGGCACTAGTACTTCTAGGCCCAAAAGAAAAAGAACGGAGGCCCAAGTTAAGTGGATGGGTGGTTCTTTATAAAATTAAATTGAAGACAAAGACTCAAAACCCTAGTTGTTACCGAACGACTCAGCGTCTCCGCCTCTCTGCAAAATGGTGAGTGTCGTTCCTCAATTCTTAATGGCACTTTTTCTCTCCCTTTCTAACCCTTTCAAACTCTGTTCTGTTTTCAGCCTTTCAAGAGATACGTTGAGATCGGAAGGGTTGCTCTCATCAACTACGGCAAAGAATATGGCAGGCTCGTCGTCATCGTCGACGTCATTGACCAGAACAGAGTAACCCGCAAACCAAGTTCTCGTCTTTTTTCACATTCTTGCATACCCGTTTCCTTGTTTTCTTACAAAGAGTGGCGGTTTGTTAACAGGCTCTGGTGGATGCCCCTGATATGGTAAGGTCCCCTATGAATTTCAAGAGGCTTTCCCTCACCGACATCAAGATTGACATCGAGAGGGTCCCCAAGAAGAAGGATCTTGTTAAAGCCATGGACGCTGCTGGTTCGTTTTTTCCCCTCTAATTATCGATTACTTTGTTGTTTTTGTTAAATTGGGAATATTCTCCTGATGTTACTTGTTAATGAACAGATGTTAAGAACAAGTGGGAGAACAGTTCCTGGGGCAGAAAACTCATTGTCAAAAAGAGAAGAGCATCCCTTAATGATTTTGACAGGTTCAAGCTAATGCTGACCAAGATCAAGGTATTTTATTGTTATAGTACTGTTAGGTTAATGATATTGATCCTATGTTATTCTGTATGCTAATGAATGATTGGATTCATTGATTTATGCAGAGGGGAGCTGTTGTTAGGCAAGAGCTTGCTAAGCTGAAAAAGAGCGCATCTTAGGCATTTCTTGACGATATAATGTTCAAATTTTGTTATGAATTTCCTTCCATTTAGTACACCTTTCTTACGGAATTTTATTTATCATTGAGATACTTGGTAAAAGGTTTCATCTTCAGATATTTATGTTAGAGGATTTATGTCAGTACTCTCAGTTTCCCATTTCTGCCTTTGATTTTGCTTGCAGAATTTGAATATTGCTTTCTAAGATAACTAACGGTCCCAAGTTGCAAGAACTGCTGTTTTCCCCCGTAATTTTATGTTTATTAGGTTAGCTTTGTGATTAGACACGTTCTTCTCTGAGCTATCGTCTACTTGTTTCAACACTTGGCTAACGCTGGTATATTTAATCTAAGTTCTTGATCAATCCAAATATCCAATTCAATTTGGCGGATAGGTTCTTATTCTCTTTGTTTACCGAACTATATTATTTTCTAGTGTGTCCAACTTGTTTGAAACGAGAACTATATCTCGATTTTGGACACTAGGTATATGTAGCCCTTATGTTGTGTATATCTAAAAGTCAAGTATGTGATTTCCGCTACGTTTTGTGCAGCCTACTTATTTACCCTCTTCAAGTTTAGCACGTACAAGATTCATTGGTTTGGTGTGTGAGATAAATGTCATATCCTTCTGTAAGGATGTTACTGTGAAAAGAGTACTAGAAACTACGTACAACACAATTTTCAGTTGATTTCTAATACTGTGTTTCACTTGACTTTTATAGTTTCGGTTAAATCTTTGACTTTATAAAATGTTATGAGATTTTATTTATTTTTATTTTTCAATGCTAATAGTGTAGTAAAAAATGGACGAAAGTAATCAAGAAAAAAAAAAAGATGCAAGTAAATGACATTTATAATATTTTATAAAGTAGGAAATTATAAAATTTTATAATATTTTATATTTAAAATTTTAAACCTTGAATAGGCCAATCTACCAAATTTAATAAACTTTTTCTTAAGTTTAAGTTTAACCTAATTAATTAATTAATATTTAAAAATAAATGAATTTAGCCTATACTCCTGAGGAATAGCTTTACTTCTATCCGTGATATTTTTGTTTTGTATATTCAAATAAACAACTGCCGTTTGATATAAAAAAAAAAATTGTAAATAAGTAGAGTTAGGCTTGCACCATACCATGCTCCCCGCAACCCCATCTTCCACAAGGGTACATTCAAAGAAATTCGCTCAAATAAATAAATATTATAGTGATATTAATATAACATTCAAGTTTAAAGTGATATTTAACGCACCTTCATGAAGCAACCAAAATGAATATTGATGTGTCCGCCATGATGCCACTCTCAAATATTTATATTATTAATTATTATTCCCCTCAAATTAATGTTTCTCGTGGGATCCCCTTGACTTTGCCAGCTTGGATCAGAATTTACCTTGTTGCAGATTGAGGAGACATTTTAATCATGGTCAAACTTTTTATTTTGTTTGTAACAATTCTAAATCCTCTGATATAGACTATCCAAAAAAGATGCACATAGAAGAAGTCAACTGGGTCATCTTTTGATAGTTGATGCTACACTTACCCACTTAAAATTGAAAGGAAAATAAAGCCTCAGAAATTTCTGAGATGTCATTTACTGATAAGATTACTTGGTATGTTGATAGACGATCAATTAGTAGATTTGAATTTTTCTATTGAATTCCAATTTTTCTTAGTTCAAAAAAGTAGTGCTTGACTTACTTCTTATTCAAACTTTCTTCCTAACTTGCAATTAAAGCTAATTAATTTTCTCAATTAAGCAGTTCTAGAATTCATGACTCAAGACCGTGAGTTTCACTATGCGGAAGGGGTATCATTGAGTCTTAATTATTCTTCTTCATTCTTTAGGGGACAATATTCCTCTAGATTCTGGCTCTTTGAACCCAAGTAGTCAAAGGAAAAAGCACACTTCCTTTTAAGTTAAGGGCATGATTGAATTTAATGTGAGTGGAGTGTAACTTCTGTGCACGAGTTTTCAACACAAAAGAAGTAAGGGAAATAAATGTCAATCCCATTTTTCACTCCACAGTCAACGCGTATATTGAATATATATTAACACAAGCCAAAAGAATTTATGTCCAGCTAATTTTCTGGTCAACATTTCCAGTAAATGCTCAGATTTTCTCTGAAACTCTGATCAAACAATAGGGGAAAACATGGGATTCTATCTACGTCTCAAGCTCAAGGTAAGCCAATACTCTTTCCCCATTTCCCTGTTACATTGAGCTTCTCTGGGAATCCTTGAGAAACATGTTAATGAATATGTAACTTCTGTTCTAGTTCTGCATAACCGACCAATACAAATGAAATGTTACTTTGAAACAAAAATGGTTTTGATGTTGCTCATTTGCTAAATCATAGCAAGAATTGGTCATTTACAGCAAGAGCTAATCTATCTATTGAGTTTGGTAGGCATTCCGGCTGAAACGGTTTCTTCTAGGACATGATGGCAGAAGGAGAAAGCACATGCAGGCAAAGAAACCTTCATGGATGATGCCAATAACACATGGTTATCATGTGGTGGAGCATAATTTGACCAGAGATGGTTCTGATGATACAGACTTTGATTCAGTTGTGGCACAGAGAGAGCAAATGGATCACACAGAATTGTGGTATTTTGAAATCTCCGATGCACTAATTGGAGACAGGGTTACCAAGTACATGCAATCTCATTTCTTTGACAAGAAGCTTGAAGAGGTTATCAATCAGTTCATTTATCCCGCTTATTCATTACTTTGTTGCACTAAACTTGGAACATTTTAAGTACTTATGATTAATTAATAAACTAGACAGTATTGCCTTTAAGTTGCTTTTGCTAGACGAATTCATCCAAGTAATCCAAGTATTGGTTTCTTTGTCTTGATACATTCTAAAATAATGTATCGTATTTATGTTTTCTTAGTCTCCATTTTGGTATAACTTTAACCTAGAAGAGGGAAAAATAAGATGGGAAAGAAGAAAAGGATGCAATACATAGCAAGACCCAATGTTTCACATAACCTTGACATGTATTGTCAGGTCAAGAATGTGCTGCTTTGAGTTATTCATAAATCCTCTCTTTTTGCTGTATTTCTAATATTTGTCTTTATATGTTAGTCTCATATAAGGAGAAAAGGCAAGGAAACGCTGAAGAGAGCTTACCTTGGTGTGCGAGCAAAGATCAGAGAGGAACACAAATTAGAGGAGACAAGCAGAATGGGTTCAGCATCTGTTATGGTGATCAATGGAGAAAAACTTGTAATAGCCAATTTGGGAGATTATAGAACTGTTGTGTGCAGAGATGGCATAGCATATCAGACAACTGGCTCATACCAACAATCAACTCAAAGACATTGGTCTCGGAGACTCTTTGCAGGTATACAACTCTAAATATTCTATTTACCAATGCTAATTAGAAGCAAGTACACAGTCATTCACTGTACACAATCAACTCAAGTACACAAACACTAAACCATGCTTCTTTATAAATTCAACTGAGAACCCAAATTTTCCTACTCAAATGATGTTACGTCACAATGGCATTAACTGAGAGAGAACAAAAACTAGAATACATGTTATCACAGTTTGCTTTTGTTCATCAATAAGTGAGCACATCTTTTTTATTCACATATCTCATAATATGTTACATGTGTTCAAAAAGTACACATGATAGCATGCCAATCAAGAAACGCAGCTGGTGTAAAGCATTCTAGAGGCTCAGAACTTGTCGTCAGAAGTGAAAGGATAGATTCTGATACTGAATTTTTGATATTAGCAAGCAACGGTATATGGGAGGTAAGGTGCAATATAAACTACTACAATTACAATACAAACTTCGAACTTGGCTCCATATGGAAACCTCATTTCCATAATCTTATTTTTTTGTTGTTGTCTCCACTTCAGATATAAGATATCATATAAACGCCCATATTGCTTCAATTAAATAAATAAATAAGTTAATATCATCTTGCTTATTAAATGTGATGTTTTCACTTAAGAGTACTAAATACTTAATCATAGCCATTTGTTGGGAAAAAAGTAAAAGAAACTAATAGCAAGTGAATCTCCATATATGTGTATATATGTGTAGGTGATGAAAAACCAAGAGGCTGTGAATTTGATCTGTCACATAGAGGATCCGCAAGAAGCAGCTGAATGCTTGGCAAAGGAAGCTTTCATTAGGATGAGCAAAAGCAGCATTTCATGCTTAATCATTCGCTTTGACTAACGCCTCACCAAAAGCAACATTTCATTGGTTTAAAATTTTGCATGCCAAAGCTCCTTATAGCATTGATCCTTATTAGACCACTGTTGGTCATAGTCATCACACAATTTCATGGCACAGCTTCATCATTACACATCTCAATTGACTTCAACAATTTTACAACAGAAAATAGTTATAATGGAATATTCTGATACACATTCAAGGTCATAAACTTTCCTCCACCCAGCATAGGGTTTATTAAAGTAATGATATTCAGTTAAATTATGATTGATAAATAGAAATAATCTTCTTTTTTTAATAATAAAATTATAGAGTTACTTGTATATTTTTTAAATCACGCTCTTTCTTATGTCTAGAACTAGAATAGCACGAATGATTAATACCGCACGAATTTGATGATTGAATGAACAAATTGGAAGCAGCAGAAAAATTCAGCCCATCATAAATATTGAGAAGGAACACCCTGTAGTAATCTATAGTATCATATGATATCTTCCTCATCGAGACCAATATGTTCTTAATTATATCTATATTTACGCAACATCAAGATCTATGAATCCTCTCCTGTAATTTTAAATACATATCGCTAGCATTTAAGTGTTTCAATAGAGCAGTCTTATTTACACATGCTTAATTTTTGCATCAATTTCATAAACTCATCTTTATTATTAACTTTCTTTTTCCTTTCTCTCCGACTCCCATTATCGGTTCTGGCATGGTTTATGCACTCTGTTTTTAAAATGTTTGCGTCAGCAACTTTTTACTTTTCAAAATTAAACGGAAAAAAAAAATTCCTTCAATGGTTGCCAATATTACATTTAAGGCCTATTTAGTTTCTAAATATATTTTCCATTTTTATTTTTTTTATCACAAAATCATCACTTTACTATCAGTATATTTCTTGTTTTCTATGGTTTACACAAAATAGTAAATAAAAGTTATTTTCAGTGTTTCCTATACAAATATTTAAAATAAGAAACAGAATAAATTTAAAAAAAAGATAAAAATAAAAATATTTTCTGAAACCAATCAACCGTTACAGTTTAACTCATCTTGATTATGTGTTCATATTAATCATTTCAATTCTATTATATTGATAATAAGTGGGTGTTTATCCTTCCCTGATTTGAGTTTGAACCCCAAATGCACAAAAATTGAAGGTTAAAGCACAAAAAAGAGAGCTAATAACCGCATTGGTGATAAATGGAAGCGAGTTGCTTCTCTCAGAAAGACAAAATGTGTTCAATTTGAGCATGTCACGGAAATTATCATTCATAAGAAAATTTGGTAAATCTCAACATTAATTCAAATGACATTAATTGCCTAAGGATTTCTTATCCAAACAAGTTGAGTCTTTCTATTCAAGAAAATTATTTCTTTCATGCAGAATAAGATTTCAAATGCACGTGGAGAACCGGGATCAGACGAAGCTTTAAAAAAAGAAAGAAAATGACTATTATAATATTGGTGAGATCTTTGTTGGATCATATAATAATTGAACCATCACCTTAGTTCAAGGGAATGCAGGAGAAAACATCCTCCTTAACCCAGAGATATATGAAGTGAAATGAAATCAGATAAAAGAGTAAAATATACAAGTAACTTGAGCATATGCACAATGAAACATAAATATACAAAAGGACCAATTGCATAGCAATACATTACTCAGTCATCTTTTTCAGCTAGACAATAACTCATGACACTAAAAAAAATGAAAAGAATCAAGTAAAGGATCTAGCTTGTCACTGCATCAATATTACCAATAACACCAAACACTCTATCAAGACATCATTATCTTTTTTTCACTACTCTTGCTTCGAAATGGTGATAACAAAGAGAAAGAGCGAGAAGCTGCACAACAATATGTTTGAAGTCCATAATCAGAAAAGAAATCTAGATGATAATGTAGCAAAGAGGATAGGGATAAATGAAGCGTTGATTCAAGTTCATTGAATTAGATTGAGCTTACACTTTTGTTGAGTTGTGCTGGCAGAGGGACTTTCATCTTGAGAGATCAAATTCTTTAAGGTATGAACTGAAGATGACATGGGAAATATGATGGTTAGTTCAAGTACATACATATATGTTATAAATAAAATTGAGTTTGGTGAACTTCTTTAAAAGAATCTCTCAATGATATACTTAAAACTTCAAACACTTGAAAGTTGAAACCATAAAGGCAATTATGAAAAGGAACAAACACGTGTATATGAAAAATCCAATGAGACGTAGCTGTTCTAATTTCTAAAGCACAAGTTATAGTATAGCAAAATGTACTTTTGCCAGATCATCAGCCATCAGTAATAAGTAAATGATTGAATGGACTATGCTATTGACATCTTTTAATTACAGTTATATAGGCTCATTTTACACTCTAAACTATATGCTTTGCAGTTCTAGGGAAACCAAAGTCATTCCTGAGTGTTAGGAGCCAGGTTAGTTAAGTCAACACAGGAAAGTACACCTTAAAGTTCTAGAGATATCCAATCCCTTTCAGAATGCTCGGATGCAGGAAAATAAAGTCAACACAGGATAGGAATATTGATGTACTCACATACAACCCAGTTTAGTTAAATGCATATGTCAGCTTAAATAGTATAACTAATTAATTAATTATTCAAAAAGTAAATTATGTTATGAGACGTTACACTGTAATATAACAATCTTGAATCTTAAAAAGTAAAAATCTTATCATAGTTCTGTTCTCAAAAGTTCATATAATAATATTTTTTTTAATGTAATCTTTAAATTGCTACCAAAGGAAAAAGGGAGTATGAGGTTGTTGAGCTTAGTGTAGGGTTGTCCCCAAGCTCATTGAGTATTGTCAGCTTTAACCTAATGGACTGGCCTCAGCCCTCACATTTTTGTCCTTCAGAAAACATGCGAAAGTTGTGCATTTGGCAGATAATGTTATCAACATTCAACACAGTGATTACTAAACTTAAGAGCGTAGAAGTAGCAGTGTAGCATATATCAGAAGGGGAAATCATAATCTCTGGATACTGATTTATTATATGCTGATGCCCCTGAGAGGCAAATTACCTTCGTCGGAGGAACCATTAGTTCCAACCTCATCTACTTCAGAACCATCAATGCTGGCATTATCTGATTCCATGTTGCGTTCAGCAGCTGAGCTATGACTCTTTTTTCCAAACTTCAGCAGTCGTCGGAACCCTTTGGATGATTCCTTTACCTGAGGCTTCTCAATTGCCTCAGGAATCTTCTCAAGTGCTGAGTTCCTGATGTCGGACACATGTGCTTTAACAGTCTCCATACCAATTGCTGCAGTCTCTAAACTTGAGGGGGCCGCTTTACCGTATTCACTATTTCTTGTACTAGGATCTTCCATAGAAGAAACTCGAGCAAACGGGGCATGATATATTTCCCCAGCAACACAAAGGCTGGACAGTTTTGAAGGTTCCTTCTCTGTATTATCCATTTTGACCTGATTTTGGTAGATATATTCAAAATTAGCTGATGAACTAAGATGTCATCCCATCCATGAAGAATCTGGACTATATGAGCACATCTAAAATCAAATTAAAAGTTCTTGCCTTACATTTAAAGGTCCAAAATAATAACACATCGTAGCTGAAATTTAGAAATCAATTATCAGCAAATTTCTAATCATCATAGAATTGAACAGACTTATCTTCCACATATAATATCTGAATTGTAAATTAGAAAGTGCAGAAAATGAAAATTGTAGAGAGTATAATGTAGGACCAGATCAATCTTGATGCAACAGTACAGATGCTGTTCTGCGACCCAATGGTCATGGGTTGTAAGAGTGGAAACAAGAAACAAGGTCTACTAGTGCAAGTAAGGTTGCATATACAACTCTCCTCAGAACTGACAATGGAGGGAACCTCATGCCCTAGGCCATCTTCACCAAATTTTGACATTATAATGTTATTTTCACAATTTACAATAAACATGTAGAATTGGAAGTAATTCCTTGTACATAGTGAAAAATACTTTATACAAAATATAGCATATTAGATACAATTTTCAGGTTTCATATTTACTGTAAAATAAGGCGCTTACAATATCCATATTTACTGTAATTTATTCATAAGAGGATGCCATCAGCAGCCAAACATTTGTTCTTATACTCATACTATCATGTCAAAAGTTTTTTATGCAATTTACAAGAGTACAAAGTAACAAGGCAGTTAAACTATCATCAAAGCTACTAAAAGTTATGAATACAAACCTCAGCAGAAGTGAGTTGAAGGTGTGGTTGGCTCTCTGAGGTTTCTTTATCTATTATATCCACACTTAATGGTGAAACAGGAGCTCGAATAGCAGCATAATCAGATGATCTCTGTGTTTTTTCTGTCACTTTATCATTATCAAATTCCTTTTTTGCTAACCCAAATTTTTCTTCTGACTTATGAGTAGGGGGGGCATGAGGTTTCTCACACTCAAGCATCACAACAGTCTTCTCAACCACAGGATTGTCATCTCCATCATCATTGGATGAAGTACCCATTTCATTTTTATTAGGCATGGTACCTTCTGAATTCATAGAAGACTTGTCATCATTCAACTTACGTGTCTTCTCTTTGACTGATGATCTGTTCTGAGCAACGTCATTTGCTTTGGATGTTCTGATTTTCAGTTCTGGGAGGGCTGCTGTCTTGCTTCTATCATGACTCACAATAGCAGAAATTTTTTTGCTCTCAGGTCCTTCAGCTGCTTTAGTCTTTGTTACAATTCCAGGTCCATGTGGTTTAACTGAGGAAGTCTGACGAATGGTACTTATTTTGGGTTCTGACAATCTTCTAAGCTTAGATTCAGGCAAAGAAGACACTGACCGGCTTAATTTGTTATCATCCAAGTGGCTTCTAGAATTCAATCTGCTGGCTTTTGAGGTTTTCAAAGAATCATTAGATCCAACAGAAGCAGTTCTGATGGGGAATCTTTGAAGGGGTGAGGAGGCTCCTGACTCTGAATCACTAAATTTTGATGCTTTATGAGAGCTTGGTGAAGATTTTGTTGGAAATTGTTTCTTGGTTAGCTGTAATGGTGATTGTGTAGTGGTTGAGCTACTCTTGGCAGCAATCCTCTTTTGCCTCTCCATCTTCAAAGTTTCTAGGCGTTTTATCTCTTCTTGTTCCTAGTTATTATAAATAAAAGGAAATAAACAGTGTTGAATAACAGATGTATGGCCATGAAGACCTGATTTTCCAATTAATATAAATGTGAATGCACTAAAAACTATGGTAAGGTCATGCATACAAGGTCACTGATCTTGACTATAAGTTTCACGTCTATTCTAAGCTAGTTGTATGAGATAGAAATATGAAAGTGGGAACAAAGGCCAGGAGATATGGAAATTAAATAGAGTACCTTCTCTTTCTTCATTTTCTGGAGATCAGCTTTGTAGTTTCTTAATTGCTCAGCACGTGCCCGTGCTTCATCCAAAGGACTAAGTTTAGAAGTCTTCCCTTTCCTGATTGGTCCACCACTCTTTCTTTTATCAGAACTATTTGGTGTATGTTTTGATTTTGCCTCCTTATCCAACCTCTTAGATCCTGGTTTGGTGTCAGCCAATGCCTCTTTGTTCTTATTTTGTAAAGCACCACCACCCTGGGCCTCCATTTCATAGTCTAAAGCAGGGTCATAACTGATGGACCCCCTTTCAGCTCCTCGTTCAGGTAACATGCTTAATTCATCTGGCTCATAATTGATACGATTCATCTGATCAGCAGATTTTTCTTCCTTTTGATGCACCATTGAGATCTCTGAGTCTATGTCAATAGCTTTTCTCTCAACATTTCCTGCATCATTGACTTGGATTGATCTATACTCCAATATGTAGGAATCATCATTCATATCATGAAACAACTTCCTTTCTAGGTTGTTGTTTGAATAACCTAGTCCACTAGCAGTTTCCATATCTGAGGAAGGATAAGAATTACCAAACTGACTTTCTTGTTTGGGAATGATAAAATCATCACTGGCAGCCCTCCTATAACCACCCCTTCTTCCATTTACTTCTAAAGATTGTACATCATCTACAGACCAGCCATCACCAGATTGTCCAGTTCTTGCAGATAACAAATCATCATTCGATGTCTTAGGCATTGGAATCAACCCTTTGCTCATGCTATGAACATCTATAGAACTTCCTTGAGCTTCATGCAATTCCCGCTTGTTAAAAACTAAAGGATCATTGACATGTTTTCTTCTTCTCATGCCATTCACCTTTTCCTGATCAAATTGGTCTTGGTCAATGGCATGTCTATCTTCATCAACATCTCTCAGTAAACAATTTTGGAATGCTTGCCAGTGACCTCCATCTGCATCCTTGTCATGGGCTGTTTCTTCCTTATCAGATGAATCCAACTTCTTCAAAGATTCTTTTGTGCTTCCCCTTCTTTTTGAGTTCTTCACAGATTCTTGATTATCTATATCGTCCGCAGTTTCAGAGGCAGAATCTGAATATGATCCACTGCCAGAAGAGTTTTCTGCCTTTGTTATGTAATTGATGTTCCGAATGACCACCATGCCAGATTTCTGTCTACCTGACCGGTTAGCCTTCTTCCGTCGCTCTCCAATCTGTGAACCTTCCCTCTCCATATCCACTTCATCCTGTGACCTTGATTTTGAAGCTTCTACATCCCATATTTCTGATTCAGTATTGCTGATTCTACTATCCATGGAATGCCTTCTGCGCCCCATATTTTGGCCAGCAATTAACCTTGGGTCATCCATAGGTGGATAATTTGGCTGCATAAAAGGACCGTTTCCTGGATATGCTTGATAATAGGGTATGCCTTGCACTGGATATGGCTGAAAGACTGGTACAGTGCCTGGGGGAGAATGAACCGGCCACGGAGGGAACATATGATGTGGAAATTGACCCTGAATATTCTCTTGGTTGCCTATAGATGGTTGCCGGTCCATTGGCTGCACATCTGCAAATGTGTAAACAACAATATCAAGACCTTTCTAGTTACGACTGAAAACCAGACATGGACACTGGAGAGCACCATTTTAAAAATCTCAATTGTTCTTCAAACCCTCAGATATCATGACTAAACGATTTGAACATATAGACATATCTGGTACTTTTCAAAATCCATTACACATGTTGCAGTCCATTTTTTACCAAAAACAACAATTTACATTGCTTGTGACACCAAATTTACATACCACTGTTCTACAGTTCTAGACAAGTATTGTGCATAAACTTCTATCCATGTTGTTGCTAATCCAACTTTGTGAAGATAAAGAAGCTACCAAAACAAAAAAACATTTTGCAGGATAACCAACCTAATACTTCTCTGTGTTTCTGCATCTGAGAAAGAGTAGTGACTTCTTATAAATGTATACATTAAGTCATAGACAGTCCAGAAATTCACAAGTTTACAATGCACTGGAAACGTCACGCACCTGAACTTGTTTTCCCATTACTTTCAGAGTCCACATCAGTATGGGATGCAGAGGCCATATTGGGAAGTATAATTCCAGAACCATTTAATGCAGAGGAGTCTGAGCGATTGGACATCATTTCAGCAGCTTCAATTTCAAGCCATTGTCCAGTTTCATGTTTTCTTCTCCAAAGATCCCTGAATTTTGTGCATGCATCCCTGACATGTGACGAGAATTAGCATGAGCAAGATTGTTCAGAAGTCAAAATGTATATTACAGGTCAATGGGTGAAGAACCCAACACTTCACCAACCAATGTCCAAGGTCAAAATGGTCTATTACAAGAAAATGTTTTCTTACATCAACCGTGAAGCTCCAAAGCACTCAGCAAATGACACCAAAGCTGGTATATAGTCAATGTCAAAACCAGCCGCAACAGCACGTGCAAATGCCATGCCTTGCTCTTTCTGCAGCACTGATTTACGTGTCTCTAGGACTTTCAGAAGATGAACTCTAATACAATATGCAGTAGAAGTGAACATAAAACATGTGTTAACAATTTGTTTAACATAGTGCAAGGAAACCCAATGAATAAATAAGAGATTGTGAAAAGAGCAGCTTATTCATCATATCATGTTTATGTACGAGCAGCTCAATCCAACTGAGTTTTGATGAAAATTTATAACAATAATAATAGAATTTACTTTGAGTTTCCTTCTGACATGGTGCTTCCATTTGCTTGAGATGGCTGTGCATCAGGCTGGCACATAACCATACACACTGATTAGAAAATAATAAAATCAACAAAAGAATAGGGTATTAATCATTGAAGACCTACTACCTTGTAGAGTACAATTGCTCTCTCCTCATTAGCATCCTGCTGAGTCTTCCTACCTGTGCAAAGCAGTAAGTTTGGTTAGTTGTAACAATTATAATATCTAGCAGGCCTTTAAATACACCAAAATTTGTTCAATACAAGTTAGCTGTAAACAGTGACAACTTGCAATAGATGCACTTGTTCTTTCAAATGTACCTTCAGCGCTTTCAACATGTTTTACTTGATTTTCTTCTACCTGCAGAAATACTTCACGATTGAAACACATTTTTAAGCGCTGAGAAAGAACCCTAGAATAATGCTAGATATTTACTTACAGTGCTAATCCCTAAAGAATTATTTCCTTGAATTGCAATTGCCTCTTCGATTTGTAATATTTCAGATTCTAAAGTGTACACACGTTCCAATATCTCAGGAGTGCTCACAAAACGAACAAACCTACAGAAGCAGATAATATTAGTCCAGCAAGCTAATTTTTTTTGTGAACAGAAAATGTAAACGAGTGGAAAACTATAAGTCCCTAACCTTACAGTAACAAGTCATAAATTTATGTTTAATTTGTTTCTGTGCCCTTTTCCCAGCATTTCTAATTGGTTCGGAAAGAGTTAAATATATATATATATATATATATATATATATATATAACAGGAATTTTGATCTTAAGATCACGGGAACTAGAGAGGGGCTTTCACAATTGCATTACTGGATACAATAATAGCAATGATAATCAGTAAGCACCATGTATAAATCAATTCAACTCTCAACCTATGCTGAACCCAGCAATAAACCAAAAAAACAAACTCAAACCTTTCAACAGTCCCCTTGGTAAACCATGAGATGTCACTGCCACCCTCGGGTTCAAGAACAATTGAATATCCACCCTTGGCCATCTGATCCTGAGCAGCCTTCAAGTGCGAAAGAAATGGGTTGAGTATGCCTGAGGCAATCTTCTCCTTCTTTCCATTCACAGTTAAAACCAAGTCAAACCTGATTTACAGATGAGAAGGGAGCAAATCAGGCTACAAACAGCATGCAATTATTTTGAAGGAGCTTCAAATAAGATCAATTAATGACATAAAAATTACAAGAAAAAAAGATTTCTGAGAGTTAGTGGCCCTTTCTTAAACTTAAGTTCTAATAGTGAAACTTATAAACAACAGTCCTGTGGCATCCATAAAACTTCAAATTTGATAACATTAGGAATTCCCAAACCTAAGTTAAAGTGATGAAACCTCTGGAATCAGCCACAAAACTTAAGACTAAACTGCCCGATACCACCCATGTAGCAAAAGACAGATCATTTTGGTTCCAAATAAACCAACAAACTTGAGAATAAAACTGAACCGAACCACTTGCCCATTATAGAAACAAACTAAAGCCCTTCATTCACTTTAGGAGGAGCAATTAAATCACGCCAAACATTAACCAAAGACCAGGAGAAAACAACCATTGTAGAGCTCAAACTCTTGGCTTCTTAGTTCTTGGTTTCTTCTCATGTGAGAAATGGCTCAAGAGGAAGAAACCCAACAAAACATCCAACCCAATGATAAATGAGCATTAACCATTACCTTGTCCGAGTGGGTGTGAGCTGAAACACAGCTGCATCCAACCTTGTTGAAGCGTTCATAATTTTTCTCCAAAACAAAGCTAACCACAGAAACTGAGACTAATAATCTAGCAACTGGGTTCTCTCCGAAGACCAGATTTCAAATCACAAAGGATGTCAAAAGAATCAATCACAGTCGGAAAAGGGGTTCAGTGAAAAAAGAACAAGTTTTTCAATATAAAAAGGGAATCTTTAGCTTCAGGACTCAGAACAAGTAAAAAAGAGAGTCACAGAGAGAAAGTTTGACAGAGAGAAGGTATCCAAAGATTGTTGTTCTTCCTCTTTGGATGCCAACTCCAACCACAACCAGGGTGACCAACATTGATTTTTCTAAGGAAGTGGAAATAAGGGAAACAGTTGAGGGCATAACAGGAAATTAAATAAAAAGAGAAAAACTATTGGAGGCGCCGAAGTGTGACAGTGACATGGTCAGACAGACAAGACAGATAGCTATTTGTAGAATCTCAGGGTTTTGTCCTTGAAATTACCATTCTACCTTCAGCCTTTTTTAATTCTCCACATGACCACTCTGCCCTGTTTGGTTAGTGCCAAGTTGGCAACCTGTTTCAACCGTAAGTTCATTATTATTAAAGATTAATCACTTTTACTTAAAAGCTCTTTTGACTCAGACTTGCTAGTGATGAATAAAAATAAAAATCGGTTTCGTGGGAGGAAGTTTGGGTAGGCAATCCTTTTCGGTAAAGATTTATTTTACACTGTTTGGATCTCACTTTATTTACTGTCATTGCATCGCTAATTACTTTATAACAAATAATTTTCACTGATCCATTAACAACTTCTGCGATGAATGTATAAAAAAAAAACTTGGGCAATTGGGTATATTTATTATGAGGGACTTGGGACCATTTTCTTTGACTTCAAAAACTTACCAGAATTCTGACAAATTGATAATCATCTGCTCACTGATATATAGCACATAAATGCTATAAGATGTACACACTTAGCTACTTACTTGAAAATTGAGTCTTTTTCAATTTTTATTTAATAATTCATGAACACTATTTTATTAATATAAGAATAAACCGCGCTCTGTGTGTTAATTAGAAAATATTAAAATTAGACTATTAGTTGTGAGAGATAATTTATTTAGAGTAATTAATTCTAAATATATTATTAAAGTTGAAAATATACAATTTTCTCAAGATAGTAATGAAGTATAATTTTAATGAAAAAAGATATTTTGACTACTAACTCTGCTTATATTAAAAGAAAAAAAAAACATACTTTATTAAATCATTTAGTTTGATGCCTTTGAATAGTTGGTTTAATCCGATTATCAATCATTGTGTATTCTTGAAAGGTAAACCAAAGAAAAATATTATGGATGGAAATGTAATAGGCAAAACATACCCCACAGGACTAAGCAAGTAAAACACATGGTTGCCTAAGGATATTCATTAAAATGATGAACATATGTTGAAGCCAATTAAAAAGGCAATATACCCCACAAGTTGTCAATGGATTCATTGGCATCATCACCAGAATTTTTATTTTCCAGAGGTCTTTAGCAGAGCATTGAGGAGGAATCTATATCCTGAAGTTATGATGAAGAAACGGACCTTCATCCTCACCAACCCAACCAATCATTGAAAATGAAGAGGAATATATTCTTTAACAGCATTTGACACATTTATCTTTTCATATAAAATTGCATGCTTTTGCCTTGTTGCTTCCTCTCTGTTTCTATAAAGATATAATACCATGGCCTTTTCTCCCATTTGCTTATTATAATAATATACCTTAATAGTTAATAATAATTGCTTTGTATCTGGTAATATGATACGAAGCTGCCTAAAAATTGATGTAATCTCTAGATAAATGGGCAACCTCTACCATGCATAAAACACAGCATAATTCACAACCCATTATATTGTAAAATAAAAATGTCTTCAATTTCGACATACTTGTGCTTGTGAGAACTTCACTGCCCCTCAAGACATGGTAACTAGTCAATAATTTTTTTTAGATCCATCTTGTTAATTGATATTTCTTTTTGCGATAAGAATAAATTTGAAAATATTAAACTTTATTCAAATTTAAATTTTTTGTTCAATGAAAAATATTAATATAACAAAGTGTGGAGATACTACAAATTTAAAGTATGATCATGTGTCTGTTTTGATTTTTTTAAAATTCAAAAATAATTCTATTTAAACAATACAAAAATTAATGATATAAACCGAATGCATATAAGCCAATAAAGGTTCATTAACTTGGTAAAAGTTAAATTTGTATCTCACAAAAGCATAAATTAATATGTAATGCAAAAATTTGTTAATAAATTCATAAGACTTAACTTATTTAAATTCTATATAAAAAAAATTCATATCACTTATAAAATTAACTCTTTTAATTTCCACAACTTTTTCTTTTTTTACTTTTAACAAGCTATTATTTCACAGATCAAATGAAACAACGTTGTTTTATGCAAAATGTGTGCATAGACGTCCCTAGCCAGCAAGTATAAAATTAAAAAATACATTTTTTTTACTTTTTAAAACTCACCTAATAATTTCTTAAAAAAGAAAACAAATATATTCCGTGTTCAAGCTAAAAGTAACTAAAAATTTAATTATTAGTTAAATTAAAATGTAAAATTACTTTTAAAAAATCACTTTCAAATCTCATTGCCATTATTTTTTAATATATATGTATAATATAATATAAATACTTCAAGCTACATATAAATGGACACATTTAATTAAAAAAATAAACATGTAAGCTTGATTTAATCAATGAATTTTGTTGAACGACATTAGTGGGAGTCATTACTCCAACATTGGACCCAAGTTAAGTGTTAGTGTAAGTAATTAATGGTGGTGGTTGATCTGCCTCTTACACCTGCTAGGTTGGAGGTAGACGTGAAGGCTTTAAAACATTATTTTATTGTTATTACACTCCGATATTGATATCTTAACTATTTTTTTTAGTTAAAAAATATGTAGTGCATTGAAATTTATTTTTGGCAGTCATAAAAATATGCTAGAAAGTATAATGGAAAAAGGAATTTGTTATCTCAGAGTTAATTCACTTAATTTTAAGATTACATTCCATTTATCTGATACTACCTAATTGTTAATTTTATTATAAATATTTTAAACTATATTAAATATGATTAACAAGTAATAATAATTAGTAATTCACATTAAAAATTAGTAACCTTCACAAATGAGTATTAGAATATTTTTAATTCCCTTAACTGCCTTTCCTAAGGTATGTGTGGACTAAAATATTTAAACCTTTTTCCGTGAATTAAAAAAAAGTTACTCATATACACACATTAAATTTTTTTATTTGTGTAATATTATAGATGATAAAAAATAGTAAATAATACAATTTTATTAAAAATATATTTATTAATATTAATATATTAAATAAAAATAAATATTTTTAATATAAATTTATTATATATAAATTCTTATTATGTATAATTATTGTATGAATTTAAAAAAATGATACATGTGTGAAGCAAATAAATTTGTTAATTTATTTATTAACAATCTTTCTTTATTATCTAACAGGGGTGTTCATAAATTTAGGTGAAATGAAACAAATCAACTTAATTCAATCCAATTAAAATTTAATGAATTAGTTTGGGAAGAATGATCATTTCAAATAAAAATATTATAATCCAATTAAATACAAATTGGGTTGCAAGTTATTAATGTTAAAATCTAGCACAATCCAATGACTCAGTGCATTTAGGCTCGTGATGTTGATGGCCCAATTATTTTTAATTTTTCAAAGTGAATCAAAACCTTAATTTTCATCCCAGTAAGTGAATTGGAACTTTAATTTGCCTCTTCTAATTCCAAATTTTATGGCGACTCAATTCTACGTCCTAGTCTGACCCTCCCTCATGACATTATTATAATCTTACATTTTAATTGTGTTGTTAGATATGTCTGATGTTTTAAGATTTGAAGATATTGACATAGATCTTACTTTTTAGTTTTTCCAATAAAGTAATGATATAATTTTTTAATTAAGTAATTTTAGTGATTATAGAAAATGTTATACTTTTAACCTTTTTATTTAACTTTGTTTTATATAATGCATCCTTTACTTTTAGGTCTTTCAATTTGTTTGAAGTAAAAAATTAAATATTAATGAACGATTTAAATATATTGAGTATAATTTATGAAAAGTTATCAAAGTTTGTTTTATTTTGTATTACTTTAACTCTTTATTTTAGATGAATATTAAAATGTTAGAACTATAATATGTCTTAGAATGAATTATTTTTTATTTTATTTGAATAGATTTATCATTTTAAATGTTGAAATTATATCATAACTTTAATTGTTAACCTAATTATCGAACTCATCCCCGTAGTCGAGTTGGATGAAAAAATAATGCTAAAAATCGACCCAACCCAACTCATATTTTAAATTATTTTTTAATTAAAAAATTATTTTGATGATTAATATAATAATAAATAATATTAAAAATCAATACTAATAATTTTTTTTTATAATTTTAATAAATTTATTTTGAATATTTAAATATAATTAATATATATAAACTAATTTAAATTATATATTTTTATTAAAATATATATCTTTTTTTTAAAAACTACAAAAAGTGATTTTCCATCACCAAAACAAAAAACCTTTAGGTGTTAGCCGAATTTTTCCCCCAGTTGGAAAACAAAAATCTGACACAGGTGATTTGGTTCCTTTTGAGAAGCATCCCTTAGGCAGTGTTCTAATTGACATGGGCATATGTAAAGCCACTGTTCAATGATAATTCATATTTCTTTTAGAGAGAACAGTAAAAGTTGCTTATGTTTCACTTTCACAACACATGCATGGTAGGGACTTCTCAATCTCACAACTAGTACCGTGTAGCATCAAGAAAAAAATGGTAATTATATTTTGTACTTTCACATTCAACAGACAAAACAAATTACAATATAATATAAAAATTTAATATTTGTGTCTCCATTAGCATGTCATGCAGGTGGCACTGCTCTACTACATCATTCTCTCCTTTTAGAACCAAAGGGAATATTGGCGATCAAATTTCTTTTTAGTCACCTTGCTCCCAACATCAGAGATGCATCTGAACCCAATCTTTTCACGCTTTCCTACTATTGGGGGATTGCTACCAACAATCTTTGAGCAGATTTCACTCACAAATCCTTTTGGTTTTGCCAAATATTCATCCTCATCAGAATCAATCAAAACATTTTTTTCTTCACCTGAAGGGCCATTCCAACGGTGGTTTTTGTCCACATGTTGTTTTCCATTCTTTGATGGGAAAGCCGCATTACTGTCATTTCCTATGGAGGGTGACTGCAGGTGTTTGCTTAGATGATCATTGGAATCAATTATTCTAGGGGAACTGGGGGTAGAGAATGAATAAAATGATGAAATGCCTGGTGATGCTGCTTCAGAAGATACGGAGCAAGGTGATGATGAAGGAGTGTTCACTGAACTTCCAAAGCCTTGTATTTCATTTGTTATTTTGAGAGCCTTCAAACGTGCTTCCTTTAGAGCTTCTCTATTGTGTAAAAGTTTGAGTATTTGGTCTGACAGTTTCTGCATTCTAGATCCCCAGTTAAACCTGAAATGAGTAACAAGTTGGTTTTTTCATGGTTAGAAATGAAAATCAAAATCATGTGTCATGACACTAGGAAAAATTAAGTATAAAGGAATCAATTGGTACTCATGTTTTCATAGTAAGGTAATCCTACTATACTTACAAAAAAAGAGAAACATCAAAATCCATGCCCCTGCTCCTTCAGCATGGCTTAGATTTATTTTGAAATGTGCAAATCAGTATTTAAGAATATTAAACAATTTCAGACCCTTTTAATTTCACTTTATTTACTACCGCAATTTAAAACATTTTGGTTTGAATCATCAATCTTTAACCTTTAACCTTTATTGTAAAAAATAAACAAATTATGATTCCATTGACTAGGTTTACAACAAATTAGTGGGAAAGTTACCCTCTTTCATCAATAAGAGTAAAACCTCCTAGTTCTTCAATAATCTCTGCATCACATTGAAATTCTTGAGCAAACTCTTTAGGACCATGGGTCAGCAAGAATTCCAGAAGAACTAGTGCTTTGTAAGATTGCCTCCACTGTTCCCAATCGATGTTGTAGAGCCTGCAGTTTGAATGACATAGTAAACAGCCATAGGATATAAATTCTAAAAAGAGGAGTGGCACATTTGTAAATTTGAAATACATAAATATTTGGCAAAAAGGTGCCAGTGATCAGATATACCTCTGATGAAGAACATCAACAATCCTCCAATATTCATCTATGTCAAAGGATGCCTCGGCAATTCTAGTCATAGTTTTGGCATCAGGACTGCAATCATCCTTATTTGTTGCTTCCTCAGCCAGCCTAATGATACAGTATTACATGTTAATGCCCCTTAATCCACAGCTGCCAAACCGTAAATATGAATTAACAATTTGAGAGTTACATTTATTTTACCAGAAATTTGTGTTGAGTGCAACATGTAAGTAACTCATTAGTATTATTCCTTTAATTAATTTCTTAACCAGAGCATATTATGTTTATACACATACACATACACACGAGCACTTACAATTCAGTTTCAGTAACATCAGTAAATGTCATCCTAGCAGATTTGTACTTTTCTTGAAGGAAAGTTGTTGTCTGCCTTTTAATTTGCTCTAGGAATAGGCTACCCATTACTACTTTGATTGTGAATGTAGTTAACTCTCTTGCTGTATAAATAAGATATGGTACTCAATGGCAAATGGGAAAAAGAGGATAAACCATGGAAGTGAATTAATTGCAGGTTATAAGAACACTTCATTTTATGGATAGCCAAAATTATAGCTCAGACAATGCAGGAAAAGTGCTCATTGGCGAAAGGAAAGGAAGAGAGAGAGTGGACCAATAATAGAAAGTTGACCAAATATAATTTTATTTGCCTATAGCCATAATGTTTATGTAATATTGGCTATACTGAAAACTAGGATCTTCACACAACCAGGATCTTCACAAAGTCATGATCCTTAAGATTCACACTTTTAGTTTAAATTCATACCATTATTTTCTTCCTGGCCTATTCAACTCCTTCCCAAGGTGAAATCATTAACATTTTTCTTGAAGTAACTTAGTTCATCTCCGTATTATCAAACGTCAGTAAAGTTAAAATTTGCATTTATCTTCACATTTATTTAAAATTGAATAGAACAATTTTAATAAAATTAGTTTTAAAAGTTAAACATGATTGGGATGTGTACATTTATTAATTTCAGAATTTAATTTTAATATACTGTATTTGGTTTTATGCTTTCACTAACTTAAAAATTATGATAAATATGACTTTTAAAATAATTATTATAAAAAATAATTATTCTTAATAATGTGATAATTAATTATTAGATAATAATATAATTTTTTATTTAGTAATTTTTACTATATCTTGTAAAACAATTATTATATATAACAAATAATAGAAGTAAGTAGTTTATTTGAAAAAATATATAAATATCTTTTAATTTTTCTTAAGTTTACAGATAGCGTGATAATTACGTTTTTATATTGGTAATATATTTTAATTGAACTCTTAATTTATTTATATATTTTTATTGACATATATATTTTTTATTAAAAAGTGTGATAATTAATTTTTTTTATTATAAAACAAATAAAGCCTGTGAGAATGATACGGGAAGCAGGTCTAGAGAATAACAAACTAATTTATTAAAAAAAAAAATATTTAATAAAATAAACTTATAAGCATAATTATGAAAATTGGATAAAACAGTCCATTCAACTAGTCAAATAAAAAAAAATTAGCAGATCACTACCCAATCGACCATTTTTTTTCTTTTTTTTTATTCAAAGTTTAATAGCTGTCAATGGCTTAATGTTATAAACATATACATGTATATATAAAAATAAAAAAACTGACTAAAATACATTGTTTATCCTATATATTTCAAAATATAAAACAAAAAAATATATAAAACTTATGATTTATCTATTTTAATAAAAAAAAAAAGTTGTACAGAAATGGTACAATTTGAATTTTACACATATAGGGGTGTTTCACTTATGCAAATAGCTAAGACCCTGACCATAACATCTCACATCGCTTTTGGATACAATTTACGGTTTAGCGACTTATATTTAAGTTTTCACCAAAACATAACATATATCAAATTTTATATTTTTTATTTTATATCTTAAAAAATCATTATTTATATGTTTGTTAATATATTTTTATATTATCTTTTTAATAATACTAATGAAATATATATATATATATATATATATATATATATATTACTTGAGTTTAGTTCTTATTAAATTAATAAATTGAGTCAGTATTTTAAATTTTATAAATACTGCTAATAAGTGTAAAATGATTCAAAACATGTTTATATAGTTTTTTCTTATATAAATTTTAATTTTTTAGATAAAAACAAATTTTCTGTAATTATTATATTAAATATTTAAATTATTTTTTAACTCATAAATTTTTCTATTTAAAGGTAAAAAAGTTTTATAAAAAATAAAATAAATTATATAACTTTGTTTCATCAAGTTTGTGCACCATCACACAAGTATTTTGTTTTACCAATTTTTGACTCACTGAATTTCCAGGTTTCTTATCTTGGTTTTAATTTGTTATACCACAACCCTTTTGATCATGCTCACTAAGATTACTGCATTTTTTTTTTTCAATCTATACGAGAACCCACAACAAATTAAAAACAAAGAATATCATGAAAATAGGCATTTTTCCACTGTCTCATTTACCATATTTATGTTTGGTCATGCTCACGTGTTGGCTTCAGAGAGATTCGTGAGCCAAGTCTTTCTTCTTGCTTAAGGTCCTTTTCTGCCAAGCGTTTCCATTTTTATTTTAATTTTCATCAATTAAGCTAGATTAAATTAAAATATTTTGTTAGCATATTTTATGTAAAATCAACTGAGATGGGGAAAGAGTAGGGTATCTAGTTTTAAGGTAAAAATGAACAAGAGTACCACATTGCTAGACCTTGAGAAAGGTAAATATTATTTATCTTTAATTTAAATTTGAGATCATAAATATTTAAACATTTTCATCTTTCAATTTAGAGATGATTTTTTTTTTCTGTTTTTTTTCTAAATTTGTCTGTAAATTCATGACAAAACACATATATTAAATTAACATTTTCTAAGGTACATGATTGTACAGAACCAAATTAAAAAAATAAAAAAACTAAAAAGTATTCTTTAGGAGTCAGTATTATCCATGCCTCATATCTTATTAAGTAATAGTTTGCGGAAGAAGCTAACACAATGTTAAACAAAATAAACAAATTATTTGGAATAAAAATTGCTGAAATGACATTAGTTTCATTATTTCAAAATAACTGAATTAGAATATGTTTGATTTTTATTTTAAATTTTTTTTTCTATTTTTAAAAATAAAATTCAATACAAATTTGTATTAAATTTTATTTTTAAAAATAAAAAAGTGTTTTTAAATAGGGACTTGGTTAAAAGTGAATAATTAATATTTTTTTAACATTTAAAATGTGAGAAATATGTTGACAGGTCTGTTAATATGAAATAATGATTGAAATATCAATAAATAATATGTATTAAAAGAGCATATATATATATATATTTATAAAATTAATATAGTTTTTAATAAATTTTTAAATTTTTATCCTTATAGCAAGATTAATAAAATTAATATTTCATCATCAAACACGTAAATTAATTAGTATAGTATTATTCTATTTTAATTTGTAATTTTAAATTTAATTCCTAATAAATGTAGTTATGTCCTCCTCTAATAGAAAAATAATTTTTTAAATAAATAAAATTTTATACAATTTAAGAAAATAAATTAATATCTTAATCTATTTAAAAATTATTACAAATTTTTTGACATTATTCTTTTTTATAATTAATTATTTAATTAAATGTGTAATGTAAAGAATTTTGAAAAGGTAAAAGTATAATGTAAAATAATAATAAACGTATTTAAACTTTTAAAAGGACACATAAAAAGAAACATTCTTTTTTCTAAAATGGTGTTTTAAAAATGGAGAGAGTAAACAATTTAAAACATAAAAACTATTTAATTAATTATTTTGCACCCATAACCACATGATATGAAATTAAAATATAATTTTTTATTTTAAAATAAGTATTTATTATATTGAAAACTCAAAATTCATTTAATACATTTTTCTGAAGTAATTTTTAATACTCCATAAGATGTATTTATTACTTTTCTTTTACCATGTATGTTAACAATTATTTTAAAAATTAAATTTCTATCCTTGACTAATCTACTTGACGTGTGTTGTTTTAAGGATTTAGTCTTTTAGAAGTTTATTTTTTTCTATAAAGTAATTTAAATAGGAAATATTATTTCTAAATAAGCTAATAAGTCTAAAATTATATGTAAATCAACAATTTACATGTTTAAATTTAATAACTATATAATTTCAAAATATTATATAAAAAACTTTAATATAATGTTATATAATTTATGTTTACTTGAATAACTTGAGTAATTATATTTCAAATATTTTTTATAATTCAATTTTTTTAATTTTTATTTTAGTCCTTCAAATTATAATAAGTATTAATCATATAATTTTTTTTATTTTAATAGTTTTATAAAATAATATTTATTTTAATTTTTTTTATATAAAATGATAATAAAAGATAATGTTCAAAAAGGGACTCACGTGAATAAATTTTACAAAATAACAAATTAAAGTGCAGATCTTAAGCCTCCTTTAGAAATTTAGAAACTAAAAGGAGAAATTTTTTTTTCTTCTGTTTTAAATTGAATAGACTTTTTAAGAAAAGTCTTAAACTAACTTCAAATGAGTGGCGTAACTTATTTCTATCGTTATTAATAATTATTGGTAGAGTATTATTAAAAAATGAAGAATATTAAAAGAATTAACTATCTTACCATGATTTTTAATAAACTATTTATCAATTATTTAATAATTATTTTTAAGATACTTATTAGTATACCCTTACTTAAAAGGAAATATTATGTCTAAAATTAATTATGTATAATATTTAAAATAAATACAAAACATAATCAACCAATGAATTTAAACCAAATCACTATTAAATTTTGCAAAAGGAATTGATATTGAATTTCAATTTTTTTAAAAAGAAACAATTAAATATATTATTTATGATTTTTTATCCTTAAGTTACATTGAAAAAATTAATTCCGTTAACTGCATCTAGCAGCTGCTGTGCTGCCATTAAGACTGCAAAAGAATCTTAATTAATCAATTTAATCTTAACTGATGCAATTTTTCAAAGTTTCTTTTTCAAGGTAATTAATGTACTTTGCTATATTAACAAAACATAAGAAATAATTAACATTAGCATTTAATGCACGATATGTAAACTAATTATGTTTTAAATAAATTATTTTATTTATTTAAAAAAGGCTAATTTCTCTTGACGTTGAATAGATGAGATAGTAGTCGAATTTTCAACTGTATATTGAATTTAATTATTAAATGTATAGAAGTTTTCATTACCTTAGTTGTTACAATTTTGCATATTTAGGCCCACAATCACACATCACTATTTTTTATTACGGTCAAGAGCGTTTACAAAACATTGCATCAGATTCAGTTTTAAAAATATAATAAAATGGTATAATTTTTAGACTTTGATTAAAAATATAATTTTTT